CTAAAGACAATACTGAACATGCCAGAGTGTAGCAACACTGTATTAATATCACACTTCTGATCAGACTATGCCATTTAAATGGTCACATGTGCTGTATGTTGTGAATTATAATCAATCCCATGCCAACAGGTACCAGTACTTGCTGGGGGCAGATTTAATTTAATTAGCTGACTTTTTTTGGAGTGAATACTTCAGGAAATCTCACCCCGAAATTGAGCTGGACTAGTATAACTGGCATAGGACCTGAGCCTCATGGCTAATGATGGGCAATGAGTACTGGCCTCAATCAGGTACTCCCTCCAATGTCTTTCTTCCCTGGGCAACAGTAACTAGAAGTGAAAATGGATGGGTCAATCAGAGGCTGGGTGTATTTGCTAGACTTGTGTTCTGTCGATCAGTGTACCACTGTCTTAGGGGTGGGGGTCATAGATTGTGAACTGGATGGAAATGAAGTGGCTTTGTGGTATGCCCAGCTGTTTCTGTGTCTCCCCCAGGAAATCCTAAAGGAGAATTTAAGGATGTTTGAATTGGTTCAGAAACATCCATCACACTGGCCTCCCTTTGTGCCTCCAGCCAAACCAGAAGTGACAACAACTGGGGCAGGTAAGCTGTTCCTGTGTGGAACAACTGTTATCTGAGGTGGGAGAAATTGTAGCTGATACTTTTCTATGCTCGATCTTAAGCAAAAGGCTGAGAGGCAATGTAGCTCATATTTTCTGTGGAATGTTGAGTTTCTGCTGAGCTGAATTGATCAAGGAATGGTGGTTTTGATTATTTTGATCTTCTAATGAGCTGATAATCACCAATTTGAAAGAACAATAACAGAACAAAAATCAATATGACCAAAATTGTTTTCTCAAGGCCTTGGGCCGGCTCATAATTCGGAAACCATGAATGATTCAAAAGGCATCTCCAAAGGTTTATAGAGTCTTGGCCCCATCATTGTGATTAGGCCATGTAATGAGTCTGATTACTTTGAGTCTTTATAAAGAATTTCTATACTTGGCAATGGTCCTAATTACATTTCCTCCTGACAAGCTTTTCTTCAGCAGAGTGATTTAAAAATGTGTAGTCTTTAGCCACGAGGCCATGCCACGCTGAAATGGTTCTAGCATCTCAACCGTTGACAAATGCCTTGTTAGATTTATAAGCCAGTTTAGACTATCCTAAAACCTGCCAAGTTCAGCAAAATTATGCATCAACACAATAAACTGCTAAATACTAAAATGAAAACAGACGCGAGCCAGCTGAATAGTACCCTATAGCCACTTTAACATATATAGCAGCTGGTTCTGTGTACAAACAAAAATTGAAGTGTCAATGAAGTAGTCACAGGATGTGGTTAAGAACTTGCATTGTTTTACCATATTGATTACTCAATACCATGTCAATTAATTCCATAATGCTAGAAATTGTTGCTGATGTTGTGCTGGGGCTTCTAATTGATCGGGATGATATTCTGCCAGCTCTACCTTCAGACTAGAGATGTTCTCCCCCAGAAACTGTTGAATTTATCTGGACAATAAGATGCTGGACTCTATGCTTGGCGTATGTTTACAAAGAAAGAATCTTGGCTTAATTTGAACTGTAATACTACAAAAAGGTGGAGGAATCCACCATGGGGGGAGAGCACGGGGAGGGGTTAGGGGAATACCAGAGCCTATGAAATGTGTCACATAATGCAACATAATAATAATAAGATTGTATATAAAGAAAGTGTGTTGTCTTAACTGCAGAGTAATGTATTGATTCACCACTTTAACCCCAAGAGTCAAGCTTTCTTTCTCATTCTTGTATTCCAATAGAATTCATTGACTCTACTGAACAACTGGAGGAGTTTGACCTGGAGGAAGATTTTGAGATTCTGAGTGTATAGAGTAGTGGGAACTCAACTTGGAGGTCTGTCTTCCATCTGGCACCATAGTAACATGAACTTATTACATAAAACTTTTCTAGTCAGCAAGTGCCTGATATGCCAACAGCATACAAACTCCGCAGCAATCATGACTGAGCCAACTGCCAAGTCTCAGACAAAAGGCAAAACAAACAAATGAAAGAGCAGTCATGGCGCCCAGAAACAGGGAAGATGAGGAGTCCGTTGCTTCCCAGCTGGTGTTCCATGGCTAGAGTGAGTGTGCAGCGGCAGCAATGAGGAGATGGACATCTGGGAGGTGGACAGCAGCTCTCAGCTTCCTTCCAGATGTCAGCTGGTTACTCTGTGCTTCTTCACCCTTTCAGGTGTAACCTCTTTGGAGCTAAATACTAAGAAGCAATCTGTTCTTCTGGTCAAATAATAAAGCAAGTAAATCAGGGATTGAAAAGTTCTCATTAAGTTATTTGACTCTGTAGTTTAATTATAATTTACATCAAAACAATTATCAAGGACACTACATCATAACATGCCTTTCCTGATGTCTTTCCTATATAGGGGAGCCTTACTATTTGATGGGTCACTCTCCCCATCTTTACTGATAATTGTGTCAGCCATCACCATGTCCTTAAATGGATCCAGGTCACTTAAATCAGGGGTCAGCACAATCTTTCTGTTAAAAGGACAAAGAGTAAATGTTTGGGGCTTTACATGCCACATGGCCTCTGTCACAACTGTTCGGGTATGCATTAGAAGTGCAAAAGCAGCTACGGATGTATGCATGCAAACGAGCATGGCTGGAATCCAGAAAGAGTTTGTTTACAAAAACAGGTGGAGAGCTAGATTTGCCCAGCAGGATATAGTCTGCCAATCATGGACTTAAAACGTTGATTTTTATTTTTCAAGACATTGAAAGTAAGTTGTATTTTAATTATTCTCTGTTTTGGTTGGCAGCAGTGTTTAGAAAAAAAAAAATCATTCATGTGGTGACATTTAATTGGTGCCTGAAACACCATTCCAAATCATTTGGGGATTAACAGCATGTTAAGTTTTAAAGCAGGTATCCATCAAATATGCCTTGCTCACCACTCTCCTGGGAGAATTCAGCTCAAATCCCAGTGAGATCTTCCCAGTTTTCTGTTCCTTCCCCTCTTGTCTGCATTTTACCCTCATCCTTATCAAAGTCCTGTGAAAAGCCGCCAGCTGAGGTTTGGAAGGTGGCAGTAAACTCAGTCACTTGTTGCCTCAGAGCCTGTGTTTTTCTTTGTGTCCAGTAAGTAATACCTTCTGGTGGTTCAGAATTCAAAAGATCAAAAATATTATTCAGTAAAAGGTCTTTCCCTCCAGTTCCTTTCCCTGAGCACTCCCAAGGTTATTCATTTCGTCTTTATTCTTCCAGAGGATCTATTTTATACATCTCTAAAACATTCATACACACACAAACACATGTGCGTGTGCATGCACAGATGAGATATAACAGCTGTACCATTTCTCTACTTTTATCTGTAAATGATCCTGATACTACAGAATGATCGAAACACCTAAACTCTTATCATTTGGGGCTGGGATGAACACAGCTGTGGGCTTATCTTGAATCAAGGCTTTTTTTTCGCCAATTTAAAACTCTTTCCAGCCACATTAGCCACCTTTGGATCATCTTCTGAGGTTTTTTTTTTTTTTTTTTTTTTTTTTTCCCTGCCTCAATATTTTGTTGTAGAGTTTCAGTAATGTGGACTCATTTAAGGCTGGGGGAAGGGTATGAATTGTGGTGCATTGAATGGTAGAAAAGTTGTCATTGAAAAATCTCAAGAGTGCATGTTCAGATTTCATTCATTCATTTTATTTGCTATACAAAGCTGACACCATGCTTATTACTCCAGAGGTGAAAGTAACAGTAATTCAGATTACACTGATTATGCTTCATCTGTATTGGCACAGTTTACATAATACTTAAGGAAACACAATCACCTGGAAGGAATTGCCTCATGTCAACATACCTAAGAGGATTCTGGGAAACTGACAATGAAAGAAAAATGGCTAAAACAAATTCCCCCAAACAGAATACAAAACACTTTATAGTTAACTCGGCCTCATGTTAGGTGTGCTAACTGCTAAGGAGAGGGATGTGTTAGATTTTTTTACAAGCTTTTTAAAAACACATTAAAATCATTTCATAGGCTACCTGGGAAAGAACGGTTGGATGACCATTTTTCTGGAACGTCTCTAACAGCCTCAGAATGCAAAGGCACCAACACACTGCGCTTTCAGTTTGTCACACTGCACACATCTGGATGACATTTGGAGTAAACAATGACTTCTAAAAAACTGAGAGTTACTTTTTTTGTTTGTTTTTGGTTCCTGGAGTCAAAAGCAAAATCGACACCTCCTTACCCGCACTCCCTTCTACCCTCAGCTCAGGAGAAAGGGCTGTGGTTCTCATTTCATTTTATTGGCTTGGCCACATTTGCTGCATCCTTTATTCTACTTTCAACCAGGCCGAGTTCTCTGTCTCTGACTGAGCAGGGAACCAGGCAGGAGGAAGTCTAGGACCATATGACATTAGTGAGCCCCTTTCTACTGCTAGCCTTCAGGGCTGCCCAAGCAATAGGATGCCAAACCTTCCTCACTCTGAAGGAGGCAAAGCTGCTTTTCAGGCCTCGAACCAGCATCTTGTTCCGCTCTTGGATTTCTGAATAATGAGGGCTTGTCCTATGCAGACTCGAGCCATCTAAAAATGTTCAGCCAGAGAATATATGTATATTTTTTTTTACTCTGGGAACACTGGATTCTGGTTGAAGGCAAATTATGTGAGGTGACCTCTCTCCGGAAAGGAATGAGTCAGTCATGATGGTGAAGAGCTTTCTGATCAAGATAGTGAGGAAAGCCAGCTGTCTAAGAAAGGGGTGGCCCAGCAAATCTTTCTGAGGTAGCCATGGAAAGTCACACAAACATCCAAATTCAGTGGTAGCACCAGGGTGACTGAAATAGGACAAGAGAGCCACATAACAGACTTATCTATTGGACATGAGGGTTGAGCTAATGTGTGTCCAGTAGTCCAACCCAAATGAGACTCCTATGGACAACTGGTCAGATTGGCAAAAGGACCTGGGCAGCCCTTCTTCAGGCTGGCCAGGTGTGTGAGGTGACTGTTGTGAGGGGAAGGGGAGCACACAGGGTGGAGTGGCAGGTGATTCCCTATAGACTTTTCATACACACCTGGCAGCGGCTGACTCGGGTATGTAGTTGCCCTGCCTTCAGTGTCTCAGACACAGGCTCCTCTCTGAACTGCTGCCTCTCCTCCACTGTGCTCAGCCAAAAACTGTACTTGTTGGCAAAGTAGTGGCAAGTGCCTCGAGCTCCACTGCATTCGATGAAGGGAGTGGCCCGAAAGTCCTCAAGGCAGGATCCAGGCGAGACCAGGGACTGTCCTCCACCCTCGGCACCTGCGGCAGTGTGCTGAAACAGACAAGGTGGTTGCATGAGATGCTGTGTGGGAGGGTCAGGATGCCTGCTCCTAAGCATTGGTCCTGTGTTGGGGATCCCCAGCTTCCAGCCAGCAGGACAAAAGCTCTGTGGAGCAGGTAGGGCTTGCCCATCCTCTTTTCAGGGAATGCCCTCCACCCCCTCAAGCTCCCTGTTGCCCCTTGAATGCATGACATGTAGCTAAGGATTACATCTCAACCAGTGTTTTCCCAGATTACTGCTGACTCCTTGAGTTACAAATATCTTAGCTTGCTCCACCTACAAGTGCATCTGAAAAGGGTTGAATTAAGGACAATGCAATAGGCTTTTGGAACATTCTCCAAGCCCTTCTTCTACTGTACTCTAAGGTGGCTAAGTGCACAGTATTTCACAAACTGGTTGAGCCAAGCCCTTTGGAGTTGGCATTGTGGCTTGGAGATTGGGCATCACCAGCATCCCAGATGGGCATTGGTTCAAGTCCTGGCTTTTCCACTTCCTATCCAGCTCCTTGCTAATGTGCCATGGGAAGCAACACAAGATGGCCCAGGTGTCTGAGATGCTGTCTCTACGCAGGAGACCCTAATGAAACTTATGGCTTTGAGCTGGCCCAGTGCTGGCTGTTGCAGCCATCTGAGGAGTGAACAGTGGACAAAAGGTCTAACTCTGAATAAATAAATATTTTTAAAAATAATAAAATAAACCATTCCTCTTATCCAGCATAGCCAGCCACAGCCCTTACTCTGAAGTTACCCTTATGAAAATGACTTAAACTTTTTGTGTCACATCCTTTAGAAAGACATACAAGAGTACATAAAAAATGCTCATGGGCGGGGTGGGGGAGGAATTATTAAAAGATAAGTTTATTTTCGTGCAAATTTGGAAATCCATACAGCTTTTCCTCAATATGCATTTTCCACCAACTCTGAAGATACCTTGAATGCATATGCATTTCAAACGCTTTTGCACCTGAACAAATTCATCTATTTCTTTCCTTTTCCCACTGTCCTTTCGAAGTCCCCTGGTACAGTGTGTGTTACTGTAAAAATGGGTCTGGTTGTATTTGGCCCTGAGGTCATGTGGAGACTGCTCCCTTAGCACTCACTCTGCCCCTCATGAGGAGTCACTGTCTAGAGTCACTATATGCCAGACAGTGGTCCTGTCTCCTCATTCCCCACTCCTCTCCTGTTTGCTTAGCTGGGGTATCTTGTTGACCATAGGAGTTGGGGACGAAGCCCAATATGCACCTGGATTAGCAAACAGACTGGGGTCAGATGCTCAACTTGGGCCCTGAGGGATCCCCTACTGTGTGGAAATTTGGGAGAAGAAGAGTAGGCAAGTGAATTCTCACATGACCTTTCCCAGTTTTTGTCATTGGGGTCCTCATGCAGAAAGCTCTATATCAGCACACTGCCTTTCCGTGCTTCACTAAAGCAGCAGCAGCCACTGTGTATTTTGACTCCAACTTGCCTTGGCATTTTCCTTAAGAGTGATGATGTGGAAGGCCCATGCCCCGGCATGCAGCGTGTGTGTGATTCCTGGGCCTCCTGTGAATTGTTTTCTCTCCTTGGATCTTGTTTTTTAGGTGTGCCTTGCTATTTCAAGAGGCTTCTCTAGGGAGTCCAAATGCTTGCCCTTATACATTTGCCGGCAAAGATAGTCTCATGTGTTTGAAGTCTCCATGTAAAGTGAGAGTAAAGAGATTCTGAATAAGGGTGAAGAGCTCACCAATGAGCAAGCACCTGAGATACAGTACTGGCCCGGTGGTTGCACTCATGGATTTCTCCTTTCTGATCTGGCTAGTGGACACAACAGTATAACAAGGGAGGTGAACCTTATACTTTGGGACAAACTGTCCAGCGTGCCAAGACAGTAGAACAAGGCAGCACCTTACCCCAGGTAGGTCCGCCTGTGATCTGTGGGAGGCTGTGCCTACATTGATTCTTGCCAGACTCGCTCTCACCAGCTTGCCCCTGGCAAATCAGTGAAGGTGATCTGGTTTTCCCTGGGAGGGGGTCTGGGCCCTCCACCCGATCTATGGTTGGCTGAAGCATCCCCAGGTGAACACAGAGTGTCATAGGGTAGACTTCAGTGCTTCCTTGGCCTTACAGGATTCACGGAATGGATGGCCACTGCCTTGCCACCAAAACAGAGAGGTAGTGACCTTAGTGACCCATAAATCTGGCGTGCCTTTATCTGTGCCTTGCAGAGGAAGATGGAAGTGGCCACAAGGAATGAGGAGCAGGGATAGAAGACAAGAGAGAAAGGCCATGCCTTGCCTTAGCAGCAAGAGTGGTTCTGGTCCTGCACATGCATGCATGGGAATAGCTTTCTCTCCACCATGCCACCAGAGTTTCCTCCTTCCTTTGAGTGTACTACAGGTACAGTAGGCACAGAGGGAGGAGAACCACCGCCTGGGGTTCACTGAGTACAAACTGCTGCCCAACTCTCACCCTCCTGACTACCTGTCATGTTAGCTGGCTGGCCTCCCTGAGCTTCAGCTATGTCAGACCAAGTGATGGTTGTGAATCAGAGGCAAGGGCCAGCCCAGAACTTCCTGCCATCTGGTGGTCCCTGTGGGAGTCACTGCAGGGTCTTACCATGAGAAAGGAATAGCCAATCCAGAGGCTGCGCCAGCCCAGGGGGCACTGCGGGATGGTGGTATCCTGGCTGTGCACTGCGATGGCTTGTGAAGGTGCCTCACACACCGAGCAGCGGCTGATGTACTGTGGGATCTGGGACTGGCCAACTGGCATCATGGGGATGGGAGCGGTGGTGGAGAGCCAGTAGGATTTATCGTTGCGCCTGGCATAGTGGCATACTTCATTGATGTTGCAGTAAATAAAGGGCATGGTGCTGAAGCGGGGCAGGCAGGAGCCAGCAAAGCCTGGAAGAAAGGTAGTGGGCAGGGCCTGGTGAGGTCTGGGTGAAAGGCAGGGCCACGGGGATTGGCCTAGCCTCTGGAACACACACTGCCCTCCCTGGCTCTTCTGTGGTGTGGAACACACAGTGAAGTCTGCTCAGCACATCTCATGAAGAAACTTTCACAAAGTCCATGGAAAATGTGTCTTGGGGGGTGGGAATGAGTGGATTAAAAATGGTGCCAACAGAAACCTTGAATGCCATTTTCCATGAACATTGTGAAGGCCTCCTGTATGACATATGAACTACATACTTCTGAAAACCGAATCAGCACTCCCTGTGAATCTGCACTGGAAAAGCAGCAGTTCCAAGGCTGAGGGGGTGTTGAGGAGCTTAGTGCACCTGCAGAGAGGGAATGTCCTGCCCACTGCTGATTGTTGACATTTACTGGAGGCTTCGAGGCCAGATGTTACTCTCGAAGCATTTTTCCATCTTGTGGCTCATGTAACTCCTTACACCACCCTGTGTCACTGTCACCAGTTTGCCTTTTTCCATGGAGGAGGAAGTGGAAGCTTGGAGAGGTTGGATAACTTGCCCAAGGGGCACCACTAGCAAGGGGCAGAGTCAGGATTTGAAGGCAGACCTGCTTAACTCCATAACAGCCCCCCCCCCCCCAAGAGCTTGGGCAAGACAGTGCAGGTTGCTGTGGATCCTTGATGGAGATGGGAGGCGGGGGAGAAGAGGCTGGCTGCCAGTGGATACCTACCCAGATCCTGGTTGTGGGCTTTCTCCTGCCCCTCCACGAACAGCAAGCTGTAACCCACCCACAGCTGGCTCATCCCGACAGGGCATGGGGGCACTTGCTCTGACTGGCTGTGTTTCACCAACGTGTAGCCCACTCTCACACTCTGGCCTGGCACTCCAGGTCTCCCGAGGGGGCCTTGCTTCCCTGGAGCTCCTGAGGGTGAGAGAAGGTAAGAGGTGAGCTCAGTGCTGCCCTCAGCTGCTTGCACTGGGCCATGCAGCATGCAAGGCCTGGTCTATACATGCCCTACGTCCCTGGATCCTACCCCGACACACCGCAGTTGTCATCCAGTCTATAGGGAAACACACCGAGGCACAAAGCTTCCACTGGCAGAGCTGCTGGTGGAGCCAGAATTCCAACTCCAGTGTTTCTGTTCACAGAGTCTCCATCTATCCAAATCTGCTGTCCCATTGCCCCATTGCCCCACTGCCCTCCCCCAGCCACCTGGCTGGCCTTGTGTTTTGAGTAGGACAGAGGGCTCCAGAGTGATGCTTCTCTGAGCCAGTCCTGTGGGCCCTCACGGGAATATATAAGCAGCTGCGCAAAGGCCTAAAGTCCATTGCATGTTAAGTTCCTATTTGTGTGTTTTGTACTCCAGCTGTGTAACACCATCCCTGTTTTTTTTGAAGAGTTCATTGACTAAAGCGCTTGTGGAAGATGAGTGCTGCTAAATAGTTCTCAGATGACTGCCTCTGCCAGTATGTAGATCATTTAAAATATTTATAACATGGAAGGTTGAGTGAATAAAACTTTTAATTCAGAAGAACAAAACAAACTAAAAGTAAAATTAGAGGATGGACATTCGACATAGTGCTTAAGGTTCTGTTTGTGACGATTGTGTCCCCGTATTGGAGTGTGTGGGTTTGAGTCCCGGTTCCTCTCCTGATTTCAGCTTCCTGCTCACATACACCCCAGGAGGCAATAAGCAGTGGGTCCCTGCCTGGGTTTCTGGCTGGTGGCTTAGGTGTCACCCCAACACCTGGTTGCATGGGCATCTGCAAGTTGCCAACTAGTGGGATGGTAGATCTGTCTCTCAATGGCTCTGTGCTATTCAAAATACAATTCTAAACAGGTTTTTTTTTTTTTTTCAAAAGCAGAATTAGCATTATCAGGGCGTTCTGTTCTTGCTTGCATGGGGCACACATGGCTAACTGCATGATTTCCCCACCCTCAGCACAAGTGATTCACCTTCTCTCGCATATGCTGCAGTAGAGTGGCAGCGATAGGGGACCCTTGTGCCTTATCTTAACTATTATTATCCCTCAAACTCCACATCCATCCATGTCAGCATCACCTGGTGGAAGGAGGAGGTGCCGGGCGGGAACAGACAAGGGCTCTTCTCTGTCCTCAGAGGAGGGCCTTCTGGAACATGGCAGGGCGGTCCTTTCTGAGGCTCAGCATGCAGTGAGGGAGGGAGTGAACAAGAGTCCAGCTCGTGGGCCTCACAGTGCTTTGCCAAGTCTCAGATTTGAGTTTCTACCATATTCCTGAGCCTCAAACCCTCACTGAAGCCCACTGCCTCCGAGGTGTTTCTTCACCAGACCTTCAAATCCTGCGGGGCCTTGCAGTCCAGGGAGGCCAGGATCGCCGAGAGCCCCAGGTGGGCCGGGGATCCCACTGGAGCCGTCCTTGCCAGGGATGCCGGGCAAACCTTTAGAGCCTGCAGAAGACAAAGCCCATGGTAATGGTAGTATGAGGTACTGAGTCTCCCCTCCCTCCCCCATTCCCCTCCCCGGCCCCCAGTAGGGGAGGAGTGGGGAAGAAGTGCATTGTTATGTCCAAACTTCGCCACGAGAGGGTGCCCTGGCTATGGGCTTGCAGCAGGGTCCAAGGTAGCCTGGGCTAGTTCATAAATCACAGTTGCTTCTCTACCCCGTGCCAGCACTCTCCACTGAGCGCTTCTGAGTTCCTGCATGCCTACTGCCACCTCCCTTCCTCTAGTCCTCCCAGCCATGCCAGGGGTTGTGCAGGGCAAGGACTAGTGTCCCATATCAAACATGAAGATGGGGGCTGGCCTTGAGCTACAGCAGGTTAAGTCTTCCCCTGTGACAACACAGATTCAAGTCCCAGCTGCTCCACTTCCCATCCAGGCTCCCTGCTCATGTGCCTGGGAAAATGTCAAAGCATGTCCCAAGTGCTTGGGCCCTGAAGTTTTGAGTTCCTGATTTTGGCCTGGCCTAGCCTTAGCCATTACAGCCATTTGAGGAGTGAACCAGCAGCTAGAAAGCTCATTTTCTCTCTCTCTCAAATACATAAAGCCTTAAAAAAAAAAAAAGTCAAGATTACTGTCCCCCAGCCCTGAGCTTGCTTCATGGCCTTGTTGTTCGCAGTATCCACCCCCACACCTCCTCGGTCTCAGTGACACTTCACAGAACTGGACAAGCTGTCTGCAGCTGGGGCCATGCTGTGCTCACACAGGCAGCTGCGGCCCTGTGCTCTGAGCCCTTCCCCTCCCCGGCAAGAAACTTGGGAACTTCCTGAAGGAGCAGAGGAAATGCTAGAGCACACCACTCCCCCTGCCTCCCTGCACTTTCGAGCCAGGGCTCCAAGCTACGCGTAGCCAAGGCCTTTTCAAACCCCCTCTCCCTGAGCACCTGCTCACCTTGCAGGCCCACAGGGCCTTGGGTTCCAGGGTCACCGCTGAGGCCGGGGATGCCATCAATGCCTGGGAGCCCTAAGGGTCCCGGAGGAGCCTGGATGGCTTCTGCAATGGGCGTCTGTCCAGGAGCACCTTGCGCGCCAGGGAAGCCTGCACGCGGATGGGAGAAGTGGCCATGTTGAGTGGACACAGAGGAGAAGGCAGCACATGGGGAAGCTGAAAGTGTTCTTTTTGGACTGGCTGCCACCAGCTTTCTCATCTCTCTGTTTCCCCCACAGGCCTCACTGGATACTTGATCATGCTGACACCTCTTCCTACCCTTGACATTTTGCCCATCCAGTACCCCTCCTCCCTTCACTGCAGTGGCTTGTGAACTCCTTGAGGGTAGGGACTGCATCATTTCTCTGGTGTCCTTGGTGCCCAGCATAGATGATGGGCAAGTAGATAATTCTGTCAGTAGGGTAACTGGCTGTGCAAGATGTAAGAAGTGCTGTGAGGAAATAAATTAGTGTAGTGTGTTTGGTAGGGAGGAGGTGATGGGTGCAGGAATCTGCTTTAATGAAAGAACTGTGGCCCTTCATATACCAGTGACATTTAAGCTGAGACCATTAAAACTTTAGAAGGAGCTAGCTATTTCGAGAATAGAGGATAAGAGCATACCAGGAATTAGCATGTGCAAAGGTACTGTGGCAGGGTGAAATATGTTTTGGGTAACTGAAAGAAACTAGTATGGCAGTCAGGGGAGAAAGGTTGCCAGTAAAGATGAAGAGAGAATTGTCTCTCAGGGGTTTGTGGCCAGTTATTCCTATGACTCTGAGAAGCGACTGTATGATTTGTTTTTGCAGATAATATCTCTGGCTAATGGGTGGAACAATGATGGTGGGCGTGAGGAGAAGGAGAAATGGTGGTGGTTTGGTACAGGAGGTAGCCATGAGGCAGGGTAGAGGGTGAACAGATGCAAGGCACATTTTGGAGGCTATGTAAGGGCTTGTTACAGGGCTTGTTACAGGGCTTGGAGCAGTAAAGGATAGAGAAGGGTCTTCATTTCTGGCTTGAGCATAGCACTTTGGCTGGGAGGCGTGGCACTCTGGGGGCAAACTCAGTGTTCAGGCAAGCAGAAATAATGCGGAGCATGGAGGGCAGTGGCAGGATCCATGATGTTATAGCAGCTTCGGCCTTTGCTCGTGGGAACTGAGGGAGACACCGTGTCCTCCCAGTGGAGGCATGATGACTTTGGCAGTGGACTTGAGCCAGCTGCTACCAGTGGGCTGCCTGGTGGGCTTTCCTGGCATCCTGAGCAGTGAGCTTGTAGTCACTTGCCACCTGCTTTCCCCGCCCCCCCACCTCTACACACACATACAGTGAGGTCTTACCTGCTGCAGCTCAGGAGAAGCCCAGCAGATGCTGTCGACTTACCTCTTGGCCCTGCCTTCCCCTTCATGCCAGGAAATCCTGGATCTCCAGGTGGCCCAACCTTGCCTGGAATTCCCATGAAGCCAGGCTCACCTCTCATGCCTGGCAAGGTCCAAAGGAGAAACGGTCAGGGCCTTTGGTGTGGTGGTGGTGGCCAAGATGAAAAGCAGTTGGGTGTAATGCACAAAGGAGGAACGCTATAGGCCAACCTCTCTTTACAGGGTTGGCTTGGAGCAGGAAGTGCAAAAGGCCTTGCAGCCAGCCCAGCAGCCATACCTTTCAGTCCTAGCTCTCCAGGGAGGCCAGAGAACCCTGGAATGCCTTGATCTCCCTTGGGCCCTTGAGGCCCAGGGATTCCAGGGAAACCAGGATTTCCAGAGTCACCTTGGTCCGACGATGGCCCAGGAGGTCCAGGAGGTCCCTGGGGGCCTGGGCGGCCTAGGGATAAAGATAAGAACAGGGAAGGCAGAGGTGCAGGTGAGTAGCAAGTGGTTGCTGTTGAAGGCCTAGGGACTGCTGGGAAACCAAAGCCCATTGCTCTGCTTTACCTCGTTCTCCATCTAGACCTGGTCGCCCGGGGTCACCAGGCAGTCCCACTATGAGTGAGGGTAAGGAGATGCCTGGGGCACCTGGAGCACCAGCAGGGCCTTGGATACCCGGAAAACCTGCAAAGAATACATAAAAGGGGGCTGGGTGGTCTCTGGGTGCTGAGGAAGTGGGCCAGGCAGTCTCGGAGAAGATGGAAGAGCCCAAGCCAAAAATGGAAGCAGTTAGGTGAGGAAGTAGACCCAGGAGTGCCAACAGAGTGCACCTCTCCCCCATTATTCTATGATCCCAGCAAGCAGGCAAACATGGCTGACCAGGATTTCCAGCTGCCCCCTTTCCAGCTGCACCTGCATCCATAGATAGAGTTGTGGACTATCCTGGCTACCCTGTCTCACTGGTAATGGAGACACTTCATGTTGCTCACGCCCCTGCCCCTCCCTTCTGCCCCCTGCCCCTGCAACACACATCAGAAAGTAAAGAAGGTGTGCCTGAGACCTGGGAGCTACGCCTCCCCAGTGCCTTTGAACCCAGGCACTTTGTCAAGCAGCAGTTCACAGGTTAGCCAGTCAGGGCTGAGGCTACACAGAGCTTAGAATCAGAGGCAGGCCACGGGCCCCGGTGAGCTCAAATGGCCACCAGCTTGACACAAAAGGAGGCAGCAAAACTGCTGTGCCTGCTGCTCTTCAGCCTTCTGCACTGTCACCTGCGGAATTTAGGTGGACTGGGGAACAACCTGCAAGGGGAATTTCATGACCTTGACTCCATGATTGCTTAATTGCCTATAGAATACACATCTCTGTGTGAACTCCCCTCCTCCCCTTTTGGCGAAGCTGAATAGTCATTTATTAGATAATATACAGAACCCTTGTTGACTCCATTTTTTATTGTTTGTTTTTTAAAAAATCATATTTACTTGAGTTACAGAGACAGAGAGGGAGAAACAAAGAGAGAGAGAGAGAGAGAGAGAGAAATCTTCCATTCACTGATTCACTCCCCAGATGGCAGAGCATGGCTGGAGCTGGCCCAGTCCGAAGCCAAGAGCCAAGAGCTTCTTCCCCAAGCACTTGGACCATCCTCTGCTGATTCCCTCAGCTTAAATCAGTGAGCTGGATTGGAAACGGAGCAGCTGGGACATGAACCAGCACCTGTATGAAATGTTGGTCATCACAGGCAGTGGCTTAACCATTGTGCCACAGCATGAGTCCCTGTTGGCATAAGATATTAGTACTCAACAGGTTTTCTGTTTGTAGGACAATTTCTATTATATTATGTTCAAAACCAAAATGTACATTGGATGACATAAGATTTATTTAGTGCCCATTTATCAAATACATAGATGATAATCTTAAATATATCAAAAGGTGGCTTCTGCAGATGTTCAAGTTCATATTAAACATGTAACATGGAATGAATGTATTTATTTCTTTAGCATCTTGAAAATACTGAAGTGAGATGAAATCAAATCCAGCAGGTTGATAAGCTCTTCTGGTGGTTGAGAGTGTAATGTGTAATAAGAAAATCCAAATATATTAATGGCATGTTTCCCCTCCTACATTCATCTAAAAAGATAGTAAATCCATGAAAATGTGTAAAGGAGTGGGAAGCTTGGCTACTGCAGGTGTTTCCAATAGTTTGTTAATGCATGGATTCCTGAGAAAATGTAAGGCAGGAAAAAACAGATGTTGAGAAAAATTCTCACACTTCTTTTAGTTCTGCTGAAGAGAAAATAAAGCAAATATGACCCAAAGCTCTCACTGCATCGGAGCTGTGTGGTCTACCCTAGGCACAGTAGGTCAGTTGTGTCTTGATGGACCTTGGGAGAATTTTTCTTGTTCATAAGGACAAATATCTGAAAAGAAAGACAATTTGGACTATTTTTCCCTGAAAATACAGTTTGTTTTTTTTTTTTTTTTGCAAATATATATATATATATGTAGAGAGAGAGAGAGAGAGACATATCTACATATCTATAAATATAACCTGAAATTATGGAAAAATAATAAAGAAGGCACAACAAAGCCACATTTATAGAGTTAGTGTGGAAAGCACATGGATGCTCAATGTTTCCAAGGCCCTTTTATGAGTTGTCTTCTTCTTTTGCCTTTCTGGATTTTATATCCCCCTAATGTATTATCAAATTGGAAGTAAAGGTCCTACCGACTTCAGGTAGACCTGAACGCTCATGGACTTCTTTGATTAAGAATAAAACACCCTGGGCAGGTGTTTGGAGGCAGGTTCTGGATGCCTGCCTCACACACCGGAGCACCTGGGTTTGAGTACTGGCTCCACTACTGAGTCTCCTAATATACACCTTGCAAGGCAGCAGATGATGTCCCAAGTGGTTAGGTCCCTGCCACTCATATGAGAGACCCAACGTGAATGCCTGGATCCTGGTTTCAGCTGGGCATAGCCTTGGCTGTTGTTGGTATTTGGGGGAGTAAAGCAGTTTATGGAAAATCTCTCTTTTGTTGTATGTCAGCCTCTTAAAGAAATACATTTTTAAAATCTGTAAAAGAATCAAAAGTTTCAAAAGAGAAGGTGAAAATGCAAAATGGCCTATATTTTTAACTCAGTCCAGTGTGAAAACCTTAAAAAAAAGCAACTAAATACATATGGGGGCAGCATTTTGTACAGTCGTTAAGATGCCACTTGGGATGTCTACATCTTGTATCAGGGTGCCTTGTTCAGGTCCCAGTCCTGCTTCTGACCCAGCTTCCTAGTACTGTGCTTCCTGGGAGGTGGCAAGTGATGCCTCAAGTCCTTGGGTCCCTGCTATCCATGTGGGAGACCTGGACTGAGTTTCCAGCTCCTGGATTTGGCCTGTGTCAGCTTTGATGGAGGCACTGGGGACTCAAATAGTGTATGGAAGGGTTCTCTCTTTCTCCCCGTGTGAGTGTGTATGTATATGTGTGGGTTTCTATCAGCCTTTGAAATAAATGCAATAATTATGAATTTAAAAACTTTACATATACAAAGACAGCCCCTAAATATTTAGTGCACATATATAATTGAAAATCATTTTGGTAAGGATATTGTAAGGGCAAGGCTTCAACTGTGGAGTTTTCTTAAGGGTAAATGCTCAATTTACACTGACTTCCATTATGAAATCAAATATAGATTATTATGGGGCAGGTATGGTATTTTCTGTATTGCTTTAAAACAATTTTCAAACAAATATTAAGAGGATATGGCAGAATTTTTATAAATAATTTGTAAAGATAATTCAGGAAAAAAGGAAGATGGGCTTCCCTCTGGATTGCCTTATATACCCCTACATTCTATTGCTTTCCTTCCCTCTCATATGCAACTATTCCTGAATTTTGTATTCACAATAGCCCAGAAGATGTTATATGAACAAATTGAAGAAAGAGGCTCCAGGCCTCCAGTCACAAAGTCGTGTCAGAGAAGGGGAAATGCTGATCATGCACTGGCCATCGGTACATATCATATATGTGTATTGGAATGTCACAATGTAGCACAAATGTACAATTAGTGTTCCTACAAATTTCTAAAAGCGAGTAAAAGGCAAAACCCTCAAGCCCTGCATTTTTGTGTTGAGCATTTATCAATGCAATCAAACCAAATGTATTCCTCTGTGATTTTTTTTTGGGTGGGGGGAGGTAGGGCGGGGGTGGGTTCAACATTATGTTCTTGAAATGTATCCATCTTGGCATGTGCTGTTTACTACATTTGTACTTGTGATGTTATTTTCTGAGACAGCCGATGGAAATGAATAATGTAAATAAGCAGGCATTCAGAATCCACATCTGAAAACGGAAGAGCAAATGTTCCTGTTCTCTGTGGTTTCCTGCTTCCCTGTACCCGCTTCGACCCTGCTTGGAGCCCTTCTTCTGGTTTTCAGGAAAAGGCACGTTGGTGCTGGCCAAGGGAAAGAGTAATCCCAGAAAGAGTAGGTACATCTATTTACAACATTGCAGGACCTGAATGAATGAATGAGTGAGTGAATGAAGGTCCTGGGAAACACATGTACATTGGGCAAATATGTATACAAGGTACTATGAGGCCTTGGATCCTGGAGCCATGAGGTCTCAATCATTTTGCCAACACGTTCACCCCAGGGAACACATGATAATGTAATCTCTGGCATTTCTTGGGCACCTAGGTTTGTACCAGGCCCTCAGCTAAGTGCCTTTCTGCACATGATTTCATTCCTCGTTGATTTCTCAGCAAAACCCAGGAGGTGTGTTCTGTTATTCGGTGCATTTTACAGAACAGGAAAACTAAGGGTTCATTTGGAATTGAAGGGCACGCAGCTAGTGAGAGGTTGAGCTGAAGCCTGAAGGATCTGTCCCTTTCCCCTCCTGACCTGGACTGTGGCCAAGAATGAGAGAGGTCCAGAAGGTTAATATGGAAGAGGAGGAGAAGATGTGTGAGTTAGAGGGGATTTGGTGATTTGATCTGTGACTCCCCATCACTGCAAAGCTCTATATGGCCTAGCCCCTATTTTTCAGCAGTAAGTTTCACAAAATGCAGAGATTCCCAACCATGTCAAGAAAGACAGGGCGCTAATGTGCTCCGAGCCTGGTTCACCCAGCGAGACCTCCTTCAGCTTCCACAGGCCTCACATGGCATAACTTACCTTGGCCACCCTTTTGCCCTCTTGTTCCTGGCTTTCCTGGGGCTCCAATGTCAATCCCTGGGGTGCCCTTTTCCCCTTTGGCACCGGGTAAGCCAGCAGGTCCAGGTACTCCAGTGATGCTGGGTCCTAGGAAGATATGCAGAAGGAGGGAAAGAACTCAGTGGCAGTGAGGCCCTTGTGACTGGCTCACTTGTACAGGGTACTGAAAGGCCTGGTCAACAAGCTCCAGGGACAGAATACTATAGTAACAGGAAGGAATGCCCACTAAGGCAGAAAAGCAAACCCAATTCTCCTTTCTTGTCATGTCAAGCAATCTTAAATTGAAGGCTGATAAGGCGCCCTATGAGTTCAAGGATGTGGGATACACCACAATTGAGAACTCATAGCCAATCTCTGCTAGGATTCTGGAAGGGCTGGTCCCCTTCTCTTGGTCTTTGAGAGTCTTCCTCACCTGGAGTTCCATGGGTACCCTTGGTGCCTGGAAGTCCATTCAGTCCATGTAAACCAGGAAGTCCAGGAGAACCTGGGGAGGGTGCGGAAAGAACATCAGAAAAGGCAATTCTGAATGGTGAAGGCTTGTGCAACTAGTGGCTGCTGCCCCAAAAAGCATTCCTATGTTCTCATTTCAAACTCCTGGTCTTTCTGGACACATTACTTAATGTACTACAAGAGATTAGATCACCCGTGATCCACACCATGCATCTTAAGTTTTCATGACTCTCATCAGACAAATATAGCTTTAAAAGTGGGATGATAGCCAATTAGGTATATTCAATAAGAACTCAGAGTAGCTATATTGAGAACTTGAGCTGCCAACTCCCAGAGACTCAATCCAGAAACGTGTCACCCAGTCTCTAAGTGAGGGAAAGGCAACATATGCCATAGCGACAACCTTCCCTGGTGACACATTTTTCCATAGATCCTATATTCTTTTTTCATTCATATTTTCTGGAGTTTCTTTCTCTTTCTCTGCATCATTTTTTGTGGTTTTTGTTTTGTTTTGTTTTGTTTTTGTAATTCCTCATGTGGCTCAGTTAATGACTCACCATGGAGATGGTTTAACCCAGTTAGTGTTTTCTAAGATGGAAGATGGATTAGTCACTGTCTTTTCCTGATGGAAGGAGACGTCCCCCTCATTACCACCTGCTACTAAACACACATACCTTTAGGTCCTATGATGCCGGAGGATCCCAGGGGCCCAGCTACCCCTGGGAGACCTGAGAAACCTCGAAGTCCTGGATCTCCTCTCAGACCTGTTATTCCTGGAAGCCCTAAATGTGAAATCAAGGCACAATTTCAGATTGGAGCATGGCTTCAAGCTAACATTCATTCTTTGGGGATGAGATGTCTGGTGGCATGATACCTGGGGGACCAGGAAGGCCAATGTCTCCTACAACACCAGTTTCTCCATTTTCACCTTGGTTTCCTGTCAAACCCATGTCACCAGCTGGTCCATTTTCTCCTTTTTGTCCTACAAGAAGAACGGGTCAGTGATCAGACCTCATTTCTGACAGTAGTGAAACCCTTAGCTTCTGAGGGAGCTACATCTAGTGAGGGAACTTTGTGGAAGGACGGTAGCAGCTGGCTTCATGTTTGAAGGGGCTGCTCAATGGAGAAGATAGTAAACTTGTTCTTAATGTCTTTCAGAAGTAGGAGTAATGAATCAAAGTGTTCCAGAAGCACAGTTTAGATCAGCTAAAAAGTAAGGATGCCATTATTTCAAAAAGTTTTGCCAGTCTGAGTTTTGAAGAATAGGCTAGTTGATTGGGGAAAACTGTGGATAGGCATGATTCTGCACTGGATAAAAGCTGCATAATTGATGGGTAGACCCCCCCGCCCCCACACACATCAATATTCCTTCCAATCCTCATTGTGCAAGGCATATGAGACAGGAATAGAGCAACCTTACCTTTAACACCAGACTCTCCAGCTTTCCCCTTGGGTCCTGGATTACCAGAAACTTTAAAAGTCTGGCCTTGATCACCTGTGGATATCAAGATATTGTTCAGATGGTCAGAAAAAGGCAGAGGTCATTCTGTACTAAATAATATTTGAACACAGAATCTTTGCAGAGTCTGTATAGCCAGAGGAGCTCCTTGGCAATAAGAAGGAAAGGTGCCCAGTCACAATCCACAAACTAGGATTCTACAAGGCTTTTGGCATGAGATGCTGCTGCATATGGCCGACTTCCGTAGGCAAACATAGCACCAGGTTTGGTATGGGCGGAGAAGATGGTAGATGGAGCCAGAAACCTTTAGCAGAATGGAACAGTAATTTTGGTAAGGTCAGGAAATTTTTCTGTCTAGTGGGCTGGGTTCACCAGAGAAGAGTCTGTCTGGAGTCAAGATCCTCCTTTGCCACTGGGTCTGGAAGGCAGATAGGTTAAACCATAAAGCTGAAGGGACAGCCTTGTCCTTGGCTCCATGAAAGCCCCAGAGTGGGATCTTGGTAGACACCCCTGTGTGTTGCATTGCCTTTGAGGAATAAACACTATAAATGGGATTTGGCCAAAGAGGGAATGTAAATCCATTTATTTTCCTCTCTATACAGGCTGTCCCCCAGGAGAGTACTTGCTTCGGAGAGAGAGAGAGAGAGAGAGAGGAGAGGAGGAGAGTGAGAGAGAAGAGTGGAGAGAGAGGAAAGAAGAGAGAGGGAGAGAGAAACAGAGAGGGAGAGAAGAGAGGGGAGAGAGAGAGGAAAGAAGAGAGGGGAGAGAAAGAGGAAAGAAGAGAGAGGGGGGAGAGAGAGGAGAGATGAGAGAGGGGAGAAAGAGGAGAGGAGAGGAGAGGAGAGGAGAGGAGAGGAGAGGAGAGGAGAGGAGAGGAGATTCCTCACCTTTTGATCCTAGGGGGCCAGGTGCTCCTGTGAGGCCAGGGATCCCATTAAGACCCTGCGGACCCTTCAAAGCAATATGTGGATTATCATTTCTGCTCAGGACTCAGGGCCACCCACCTTGTTGTTCCTTCCTCCCCCACCAGCTGCTACCCAAGAGCTGTCTACCAGGCCTGCTGTGGCAGGCATGCAGTATGAGGCAAAGCATGCAAATGGGAAGGTGACAAGCAAAGGAGTGGAACCCGACTTAGGAATCACGGGGGAGAATTTGACCTGCATGCTAATTCTCATCTCATCATTCATATTCCTCACTGCCTGTCAAAGTTGGAATCCTGGCAGGGTGGCTGTTCGGTGCAGCAGTTAAGATGCTGCTTGAGATGCTCACATCCCATATTGTATTGCCTGGTTCAAGTCCCAGCTCCTCTGGTTCCAGTCCAGGATCCTGGGAACACAATCCCTGGGAGGGAGAAGGTGATGACTGGAGGTTTTGGTTCCCTGCCACCCACATTGGAGACCTACATGGAGTTTCAGGCTCCTGGTATCATTCTGATTCAGCTCTGATTGTTACAGACATCTAAAGAGCAAATCAGCAGGTAAAAGATCTCTCTCATTTCTCTTTGCTTTTTAAGTAAAATGAAAATAAATAAGGTCTACAAAAATGAAGTCTTGAGAAATCAAGGTGTAGTGTTCTGAGTGTCTTAGAAAATAGAAAACAGCACAGTTAGTCTGAAACTTGATGTGTTCCGCAGACAGTCAGCTCCCCCCACCATCACCAAAACTCTCAGGGACACAGCTGAGAAATGTCACTTCACCAGGAAGTACCAGCAAGGAACATGAGGTGGTTTCACTACTAGGTAGCAAGCTGTATATGTACACATACTAGATTTTGAATTCTTATGAAGGTCATCGGGTTACAGGAAAAGCTGCCTTCCCTGGCTAATGTCCAACATACTATATGGATCTGGGAATCAGGCATGTTAACCGCCCTCATGTAGTTCTTTCCCTGATTCTGGTATGGTTTTGGCTCATTCTGGGACGTACCCGGTGTCCAGTAACGATCTATACTATTTTGTGTTTTGTGCTGGTCTGGGTCACTGTATACACAGGACTGCTGCCCCAACACAGTCCCTACATTCTGCTTGTTTGATTACCTGGCTTCTTCTATCTGGCATATGGCCACATCCACAACTAATGCTGGGTCTCTCTCTGCTCTTTCCAAGAACACTTTCCTTCTTGTTTCCACGTATGCTGGTGTAGGAGTAGTTAGTACCCCTCCGTGCTGTGTGGAATGACATATCTTGCAATCTTTTCAAAGGGGTGTGTGTGTGTGTGTGTGTGTGTCTGTCTGTCTGTCTGTCTTCTCCAGAATGGCTGCTGCTTTTGAAGGACAGGGAATTTGCCTGAAGGGATCAACTGTACTACCAATTACTTATGTAACTGCACCTGCCATGTGCCAGGTAAGACACAATGTGCTCTACATGATATTTCAGTTTGTCCTCACTACTGCCAAAAGGAGGTTTGAATACAATTATTCCTTAAAAAAAAAACAAAGATTTTATTTTTATTGGAAAGGCGAAATTACACAGAGAAGGAGAGACAGAAAGATCTTCTATCGGCTGGTTCACTGAAAGCTGAGTCAATCCGAAGTCAGGAGTCAGGAATTTCTTCTGGGTCTCCCACGTGGGTGCAGGGTTCCAAGGCTTTGGGCCGCCTCCCCTGTTTTCCCAGGCCACAGGCAGGGAGCTGGATGGGAAATGGAGCAGCTGGGACATGAACCAGTGCCCGTATGGGATCCTGGCGCTTGGAGGTGGAGGATTAGGCATCATTACAGCTACTGTGCTGCCCTCCTCTCGTTTTTTCCCCAATTCTCTCTTACAGATGGAAAATTTGAGGCTCAGGGAAGTTAAGTAATGTGCACAGGATCACAGAGCTAATATGCAGTGGGGCTGAGATTCAAACCGAAGTCCGTCTGCCTTGTTGTTATGTTTGCCCTACTCTGCTTTTTAAGAGCTCAGAGAAGCTAGGCTTGATTCTTTGCTAGTTGTTGCCCCTTACAGACCTTTTCATCAAAACATCAGCAGATGCTCTAGTGGAGTGCAGACAGCAAAGCATGTGAAGTACTTCTGGGTCTGAAGCCTTAGCATTCCCACTGAGGAAGTTCAACCCTCCCCTTCCCCCCCAACAGAACATTCGAGGACCAGACAAGTGAGCAGTGAGTTGTTTATGGAGTGCCAGTGTGGCAGGAGCTCAGGGACTCCTGGGGGAGATGCTGTCTGGGCTTGGATCTGAGGGACAAGCTGATGTTGGGATTGCAGAGTTTGGAGGAGGCTCTGCCATGTATAGTAGGAAATCTGGAGAGCATGGGGAGGGGCATGGTGCTGGAGGGCTGGAAAGATCTGGCAGATCTAAGGTGAGGACTTTATCTAATGATGTCCTTGGGATGGGGGCTGGGCCCAGAAAATGGTCAATAATGGCATGTCCTTCTGTTGTAGAGGCTCTCCCCTGGTGGTGAAGGTAAGAGCTGGTCACACTTACACCTTCTCCTGGCATTCCTGGGAAACCCATAATTCCCCGGGAACCTTTGAGACCAGGTAAACCTGGTAGTCCTGTGGGACCAGAAGGACCCGGGTTCCCGGTAAGCCCTTTGATGGTGCTGGGCAGACCACGAGTTCCAGGAAGGCCTGGCAGTCCAGGCAGTCCAATTTCTCCTTTGTCTCCTAGGAAAGAAACAGAAGGGTTTGGAAAAGGAAATTTGGGCAAGTCAACACCTGCTCACCAAGGTGCAGCTTCCTTGGATCCATAGGCCAAGTATAGTTTGGTGGGGCAGTTTGTGTAGGGGTGGTGGTAGGGTACAGGAGGTGTACCTTATGCAGCTGAAGAAAGGTTGAGCAACACTGAGAAAGATGCTCATTGTACATATCTCCCTGTCTGCCAGGCTCCTCCAAAGCCAGAAGTGTCACATGCTAGAGTACAAATCCTCAGGCCCCACTCAAGTCCTGGGAGGGACATGCCTTATGGCCACTCACACTACTTTACTTATTTTTGGGAAGGAAGCCAAATTTTCTTATAAAACCCTTGTTAGTCATTGTTTCCACCCTCGTCCAGCCCACGTACCTCTGAGACCAGGAAATCCATTTGATCCAGATGAGCCCTGAGTGCCTTTGTCACCTTTAAACAAAATGTTGAGTGTTGGAAATCTTGAACTTGATGTTCCGGCTGGCCCTGGATCACCTCTATGACCTGCAGATACAGAGAGGAGCATGAGAAACTACATAGATTCAGCTTGATATACCAGCCACTCGGATGTAAAGACCGGCTTGTCCATTAGGTAATCCTAATGATCACCCCAAACCTTATCAAATAGATGAAGTCGTTAGGATAACCCACCAGGTTTGTCTCGCCAGGCTGGACACTGGAATGTCTTTTATGTAGTGCCTGCAATAAGGCAGTCTTAAGCAAATATGAAAAATAAGCTGCTATCTGTATATTTGAGTGCTTAGGCCCTCTAAGGGGTGCAAAGGATAGCTCCTGTACCCTGAAATGCTTGGTATACACATAAGTCCAGCATGGAGAATACACCTGTCTGGACTGCTACCATCGTACAACCCACCCCTGATGCTATCTCATCCGAGGCATGAGTAGATCCAATCAGCCCAGGGACAAAGCAGTGGGTGGCCCAGACCGTAGTAATGCATGAGCCTTGGCCACTGGTTGCTTGTACTGAACATCAGGCGTTGTACTAAGGTTTCATAGAGCAGATGGCTCAGTGCCAACTTAACTCCTTACAAGGCATTTATGCTTTTCTCCAGGATGGTGGCCTAATGCTGTTTTTGCTGCTCTTTCTTCTAGGGTCTGCTTTTACAGCTACTACATTGCTATGGATGTTTGCATAATCACTTGTCTCTTCTCATGCATGTGCCTCTACTGCTGATGTTGATTTTGCATAGATATAGCCAAAATAAATAGCCTTAAAACACACCACCACGTCCATATTAAAAATATCAAACCAAAACAAAACCTTGCAGGTATGGGGCACATCACAGAAGGGAGGAGCTTGTGAGACTTTAAGACTAGTTATAAGGAATGGAATTTAAGTATCAACTTGACATGACCACAGCCATCTTCAATGTAACGGCCATCTTGCTCTTTAGGTGACCCTCACAGTCTTCCCAAATATTATGGGACAAATGCAATTATTAAGATAAACTGCCAGACTTGTCTTGCCAGGTTGGACACTGGAATGTGTCTTATATAGTGTCAGGAATGTTAATATTTTGGGGGGAAGTGCATGTGTAAGTTAGATGCAGAACACCTCTGCCTCTAAAACTTTACTTCTGACCTATAGGTCTCACGGCGGCCCAAGACTGTGCTTCTATCACTAATGTCTCTCCAGTAAATTACACTCTAACTTGGGATCTCTCCTCTTTGGTCTCTTAATCCTTTCTCTGTTGACAGCTGGTTTTTACATGCCATATTTTTCCAAAATAGGGAGCTTAAACCTTGGATCAGGCAAGAATTGACCTGAATCACTCCTTCCCACATCACCTCCTGCCTTGATTCTTGGATGCTTCCATCTTCTTCCCTATCCTTATTTAGACCCTCCCCCCCCACCATTTTGTAATTCTTTGTATATGTTTCTCTCCTTCTATACATTCAAAGTCCACAGCCACTTTGGATACCATTCAAAATCACCTGCAGCAAGCTTCTGGAAAAGTGTAGATAAGGTGTCTAATATTCTGAAGTGATTAGGCCTTTTGGTTTTGAAGGACTTAAATTCGCAAGACCCCTGTCTTATCTGACATAGAGTTGCTACAAAGTACAGAAATGACAAAGTCAACAAATGAAGCATGCAATGGATTCACATCTTCAGCTTACCTTTTTCCCCGGGAATACCAGGCTGCCCAAATGGTCCCAACTTGCCGGGGGATCCAGAAGTTCCCTTTAGTCCGCTTGCCCCAGGAATCCCAGGGAGACCTGGAATCCCCGGAAAACCGACTGGTCCAATGGACCCTGTCTCTCCTGGAGAGAAAGAAGAATTTTGATTACTTCCATCTTACATAAAAGGAAACAGAGGCTCGGAAAGGTTGGCTAAATTGCCCAAATTCACACAGCTAGGAAGTTGCAGTGAAGTAAGGTCTCCCGGACTTTGGACTTTGAGAGTCTTAGAACATGGACCTGGCACTAAAGCCACACAAAAGAGGAATTGAACCCCTCTCCTGTGAGTCATCAAGTTAGAGGTCATGTGTCATGTAAAAAAATAATAAAGCTTATGGCCAGGAGGCAGGATATAAGCTCTTGAGCCGGCTCTGTTACTAACCAGTTTTGTGACCCTGGATCAGTTCTTCTACCCTGCCATCCCCTGCCCAACCAGTGGTAATGACTGTCAGGCCCATCAGAGTTTATGCCGATGAATAAACCCCAGCATGGTTGTTACCACTGTGGACTTTGCTCACCCTGCTATTCAGTTCAGTGTTCCACCCAGCAGGCGGTGAAAGTGACTCCTTCGGATGGTGGTCCTCACACCTAAACTTAATTTGTCCAACTATCTTGCCACAAGGAGTTTTCCCTACCTCTTTCCAGGGCAGAAAGGATAGAGAGACCTAAGAAGCTGGGATGCTCCTTGTCAGCATTCTACCTGTCCTTCCTCAATTTCACTTACCCTTTGGACCCACAAGGCCTGGCATCCCAGTACTCCCGGGTAATCCTGGGCTTCCCTGGCGGCCTGTTAGCCCAGGAGTTCCAGAATAGCCTTTCAGGCCGGGTAGGCCTTTCTTCCTAGTTGATCCAGGGTGCCCTATCTCGCCTTTTGGGCCTCTTTTGCCAGGAGATCCTGAATGAACACAGGAGAGAACAGAAGACAACTGTCAAGCAAGGCTCTTACCAGACTTGGCTCCTACTGAATGTCCCTATGGCTGCTGGCTGGTTGGCTCGCTGGGTTTTATGAATGGTCCTTTCATAATGACCTGTATGACACATGCAAGCTGCTAGCAGGTTGCAGTGTTGTGGCTGTTACTCACAGCATGGTGGAGAGAGCACCATCCCCTCTTACTATAACATCACCTTTTTGTGAATGTGTTTCTTGCTTTCACCTCTGAATGGAATTATCTGAAGCCAGGGTGGCCAGTGAGCTCCAGTTGTGAGGACTTGCAGTCTGAATCCCACCATAATGGCTGTTTTCTGAGCCAATCAGTGAAGCAGAGGTTAAAGTGGAGCTGTTGTTTCAGCATCCCAGGGAGCCTTGGATCCAGGGCTGCCCTTTTAATCCCTGAAGCCAGCAGTGAAGTCAGCCAGTTCCTTGGCATTAAAGTTGAAAGACCCCCTAGCGCCAAGCACTGTAGTAGCCCACCAGGCCCATTTGGTCTCCTAGGTACTCTGAAGAGTTTGCACCATGTTTTAAGTTGGTCAATGGGATTAACCTTCTGAGCTGCCTGCCAAAGAGGAATGTTCAGGTACAAAGCCAGGAAATTAAAACAAAACAAAACAAAACAAAAAAACCCAAAGGATTCAATCAAGGACGAAGACAGAGAGGTATTTGGGCCCCCAAGGACCTAAATGAATAGCCTACTTGGTTTTCTCTATAATGAAAAGCGTCAAGTAACTTCAGACCCCAGGATTAACAAGGGAAGGAAATTCAATGGGAGCCAACTCCAGGGCATGAGTTCAGAGGCTCCCCTGCCTTGTAATCCAGGACACGGTATAGTGTAGAATCAACTAATTCCCTGGTGGGAGTCTGAATCTGTGAGCTTGTGCGCTATGTTTTCTCACCTAGGCAGTCTATGTGAAGATCCCAGAAACACAGAAAGACAAAAGGAGATCAAAAGGCTATTAATGGCCCTGCCAATATCTCAACTTCGGTCACTTGGTCTGGAATAAAGGGAGGGGATCTGATGCTGTCACTGAGTTGGAATGAGGGGGGTGGTGTAGGCTGCACACATGCAGCTAGAAACTTCAGAGTGAAGGGCAGCCGGGCAGGGGCACCTTAGAGGAGGGCTTACCTGAGAGGCGGGCGGCCGGAGTTTCTCCTGAAGCCAAGGCTGTGGTCTCTATAGCCTCAGTGAGGACAATGGACAGGGGACAATGGACAGGGGACAATGGACAGGACCTATCTGAACAACATCAATGACTCCTAACCAACTGTGGATCTAGAGAGGCCCTGAACATGCACCTCTTTACCCCCAAGCTCAAGTGCTTGCTGCCTGGCTCCTTGCTCCGCCCTTTGCTGAAAACATCTGGTTTTTTTTTCCACCTCTGTGATGTCAGTGACTGCCTTTCAGTGTGTCAACTGGGTGGGCCCAGTTTTGGGGGGAGGGGGAGTGGGGAAGGGTCCATAGCAACTCTCACAACCAATTTTGAGGATATTCTGTAACAAAACAGCAACTAGAGAGGGACTGCCATCCCCAGTGGGTGTCTTGCCTGTGGCACAGTGGTTCATGGCCCACAGTCACCCCTTCAGGGCTACTGTTTGTCTCAAGGGCAGCCTTGAGAAGCTGAGTGTTGAGCAGGTGTCACTGGCCTATGGTGCTTTGGGGGTGGAAGAAACTCAGTTTAACTAGAGCCTGACACTTAGGGAGATGTATTTCATGGGTAACCACCTTGTGCCTGAAGAAAGCCGGGTAATAGCTCTTGTGCTGATTTGGTTGACATGTGACTTGACTATTGGATTTAAAGGGATATTTCTCTCTTTGGAACTAGAGAGAACACTGCTTTGAGAAACTATTTTGTAACTTTCCAAGTTTATTTTGTAACTTGGTTCTTTCATTGGTCCAGCTGTAAATAGCAATGAATGAGATCAGATGTCTATTCTTAGAGCCACTTACAGTGAATTTGGCAAAATTCAGACATTTTACTTGTAAGCCCATTTTAAAATGATGATGTTTTACTGTAATACTTCTTGCTACAGTGCTCTCTAAGACTGAATGGGAAGTGGCCAAAATAATAGCTCTCTGAGTCATGTCACTGTTTTCAAGTTAGTTACTTCATCAAAAGAAAAGAAAATGGGACTAAGTTCCATATATGTAAGCCTTTATGCTTTTATATCAAAGTGAGCCAGTACAGAGAAAAAGGGATACATCTATGATTATGGCTCAAAAAAAGCACATTAACCCAAATGCCTGTTGCTTCACATAACTTTAGCAAATCTTTGAGAAGTAAGCTGCTTTAAGGTTGTTTAAAAAGGGGTTAAGATATTCTCAGTATCGTTCAAATATATTCATACCTGGATTGGCTGGCCAGAAAATGTGATACTCATCTTTGTTACATATTTGAAATCATGAAAGTATAATTTTGGCTCAGATACAGAAAATACAGATGAAGGTCCTATACAGTATTTATTTATTGTTTCCTGTGTATTAAGTACAATAAACTGGCCTTTATAGTTTTCTGAGAAGAGTGATTTAAAATGACAGTTATAACATCTAATATATTAGTTTCTAAAGCAACATAAGTACTGTTGTAAAATATGAGTTAGGTATGTATGTAAATAAGATAAATGTTTCTAAATATAAACTCAACTACTCTTAGTATCTAACATTCTATAAAACAGACCATTCGGGTCTGTTAAATATGCTTTCATAAATTTTGCATAAATGGTAAAAATTCAAGACTGCTTGGAAATAATTAGGGTTGAAATTCCTTATGTCTTCTCATTTAGACTATTTTCCCGAATTTAGTTACTTTTAAAGGATTATTTCAAACTTTAAGGTAAGGAAGATATTGTGTGATTTCTGATTTGTGGTAACTAATATATTGAGTCTAAAATATGTAATGTATAGGAGTGAAATTCACATTTTGAGATTTGATTATTGTTTGCAGCTCTTGACTATGCTTCTAAATAGTGGGTTTTTTTTACTTATAAATTGTTAAATTATTTATTTACTGGAGAATGAAGCTCATGAATATAAAGTAAATTAAAACTATATCATTGCAAAACTGAGGAGAAAAATAAGAAAGGAAGAAGGTTGAAGGTGGGAAGTGTCATGTTCTTAAAACTATTTATGAATTGCATGAAATCTGGTCCTTTTTATAAATCTAAAACAAAACATACAGACTACCTAAACATACAACTTTATAAAATGCTATATGCAAACAATCAACTGGCTCCTTTTGTCAGTTTCTATAATTTTAACCATAGCTATTTCAAGTCTTTTGTCAACAAAATTCTAATTTTTTAAACAACAAAGTTCTAATTCTTAAAAACATTTGCAGTCAGATTTCTGCACAAGACTAAAAAATACTCATGAATACAGGATTCTAAGAGTTCCAATATCCGTGGAATAAATAAATATTTCCACAACACTGGTAAAATACTAAATGAATGTATAAATCTACTGATGAGGATCAAACAAGACAAGAATTAGTCACAAGAGACTAAATGAATTAATGGAATGTATGGATTTATTTTTTTAATTAAAATAATCTTAATCCAGCACTTAAATACTCCATCTTTTAGGTTCAGGAAAACATCTTTGTTGTTCTTTCTATGGTTTAGAGCAGATTTTTGCAAACAAAGATGGACATGATTACTCTCTGTCCCAACCCCAAATTAATTCCTCCAAAGTTTTGGTGAGTAGTTTTACTTCATGTGGCAATGTGAATGTTTGTATATGTTCAATAAGAATTCATCCTCTTCAGAACATTATATGTTTGCACATATTTGTATGCCTAAAAATTATGCAAAGAGTGCCTGTCTTCCTTCAAGAGGTCCAAGCAAAGCAGTGAGTAAATGTAGTCGTCACTTCCTATTAGACCCTAAAAGTTTAAGACATAACATAATTTTAAAAAGTTTGTCCTCAACTGTTTTTTTTTAAACTCTGAGCATTTTCTAAATGTGAGATTGCTATGTCATAATATTCTTATTGCATTTAATGCAAATAGCCTATCCTACAACTACAATATATCTCCTTTTATATTGCCACTCTGGTCATTGTTTAAGACACAAACTCATTTTTTTTATGTTCCTGTTGGGTTTTCTGTATATTTTCCTTTTAGGCTTTGTGTCTGTTGAAAATAATGCTAACCTGGCACTTTGAGATGTTAACTCATGCCTACAGAACACATAAAATGTTTACTAATGAGCTCCTAGTGAATTTAACCTAAGAACCACTCCACTAAAGCCTCTTTGTTGGTTAAACGTGGCTGAAAGTTTTTTGTTTGTTTGTTTGTTTTTACACTGACTGCTAGTTGTCAATCACATTTTTTTGATGTGGGATCAGATCAGATCAACAAACAGGACAAATCCAACACAACAATGAGGAACAAACAGAACTTAGCTGCAGGATGATTTATCAGTGGTGTTTTCAGAAAAAGATCTTGTTCACAATGAGGGAATAAAAATCATGATGGAGTCACTGGTGTCAACCTTAAACCAAATTAGCAAAGCTGTCACAAAAGACTCTGCCAGACATTCAACTTCTAGTGGAAGGGGACCCACTTCCATAAGTGAGATGCTAATTAGGTTTGGTGCTTAGTATTATCACATATAATGCTAGAATCTATATACACTGCCTGCTACGAGGTGGTAAATAAGCACCTGGTCCTCTTTGTACTTGAGAGACAAGGATTAGGACTGGGAGAATTGAATCAAAATAAGTGAAAAGTAAATAACCCATGGCACATTTGACAAAAATATGAATATTTTCACCCAAGGCAGGCTGATCTGAGAATAACAGATACCTGTGATATATATCAGAAGACAAAGTAGTTCACTCTTGGGCAGCCTGTTCCAGTTTATAGAGCTTACCATGTGCTGCCTCTTCTGGAACAGAAGATAACTTACTGGCTTACTTCTGACAATATGGAGAAATATCAGCCAGCAGTCCTCGACTGCTTTCCCAGGCCATAAGAAGGGAGCTAGATGGGAAGTGGGGTTGCCAGGATTAGAACCGGCACCTACATGGGATCCCGGCATGTGCAAGGTGAGGACTTTAGTCACTAGGCTACTGTGCTGGGTTCAACTAGGGCCTAGTGGCTAAAGGAAAGCAGTTAAGGACAACCCAAGGCCTTAGGGCCCTGTGCCCACATCGGTGGGGTGTGGACCTGGAGGAGGCTCCTGGCTTCTGGCTTCTGATTGGCGCAGCTCCAGCCATTGTGGTCGCTTTGGGAGTGAATTATTGGATGGAAGATTTTCCTCTCTGTCTCTCCTCCTCTCTGTATATCTGACTTTCCAATACAAATAAAATAAATCTTTATAAAAAAAGAAAAGAAAGCGGTCCCTAATCACCAGCCATATGAGGTTCTAATCACTTGGACACATGAGGTCATTTGTTTCTACACTGCATAATATCTTCATGTTTAGTCTTGCCTTACAGGGTTTCTTTTTCATGAGATCTAGGCTTGGAGCAGAAAGCAACTATCACTTGCATGGGAACTCTCAGAGTGATTGACACCCAAGTTGCCATCATAGGATCACCAACCAAAGGAAGGTCATGAGCTTTGCTAACTATCTAGGGACCTGGACAAGAACTGACCATGCATCCCTGAATCTCTACTTCAGTTCATAATAACCTTCACCCCTAAGCCTGGGGGTGAAGCAATAGCTGCCTGACTCTTTGCACTGTTTTGCAATAAACATTTCCTTTCTTCCACACCCATGAAATCAGTGGTTGGATTTTTGCACATTAGATGAGCAGACCCAAATTGTGAGAGTTTTGTACCGATTCTCCCAACCAGTTTTGGGGCTGTTCTATATCATCACCCCTGTTATGGAAGAGAGCAGGGAGGTTGATGCATGAAAAGTGGGGTGTGGATCAGGTGGTAGGGGACAGAGAATGATATGTGATGATATTTTGGAAGTTGAATGCAGTGGTCTGTTCTGCTGGCACTGCTAGGCTGACGTGAAATTTGAAATGTGAAACAGTAGGCCAAGTCACATTCTAAATTCTGATCATTCAAACTATTCTTGACCTGTACTGTGCCTGGACTCCTGCCCTGGCTGAAGTCTGTTGATCCAGGATTCCCCCTGTGAAGGACGTACCTGAAATGCCTGGAAATCCTGGTGCTCCTGGGAGTCCAGATTTGCCTTTGATGCCATACAGGTCATTAGGACCTGAGGGGCCTGGCTGGCCCGTGTATCCTGGTGAACCGGGGCTGCCCCGTTCACCCTTGGGACCTGGCATGCCAGATCTCCCATGCAAACCTGATAGAAGGAAGAGGAAGATGATCACAGATCATAGAAGGGACAGTCTTCCCAATTTCCAGCAGAAGAGCTTGACCCAGGGCTCATCTCTGGTGCCACTGTGTTCTCAGCTCCAACCTTCTTGCTATTCCAGGCAGTAAACCAGAGACTTTGCAAGATATGTGACTATTGGTGTGGTCACTTCTGCAAGTACTAAGCCTGGAAAATGGATTCTGACAATTTAAGGCCAATTTTCCTGGAAGGAGGGCCACAATCAAATAATATTCCTTTTAAACTCGCTCACCCCAGATTCATGCAAGGTTTCATGCAGGTAATAGCAGTTACTTGTAAAGATTTCTATAGGCTGTTAAATAAGGGACAAAAAAAAAAAAAGTCACCCTTGGGTCCCGGAAGGCCAGAGTCTCCAGGAAGTCCTTTGTCCCCAGGCAATCCCTGTAGGCCCTGCTTGCCCGGAGCACCATTTTCAGCATCAAAGATGTCACCAGGGGCGCCCTTGGAACCTGGTAAACCTGGACTGCCAGCCTTTCCAGGCAAGCCATCTTTTCCAGGGAGTCCAGGAAACCCAGGCAAGCCCTTTTCCCCACGAGGTCCAGGAAATCCTGAATGTAAAGAAGCAGAAATAAAAGACCATGGGTTTAGAGGTGATTTGCTTTGGGAGAGACCTTGGATAGGTTTTCCTAACATGAATATGAGCATGTTAATACTGTATGTTGTTTCTCTTGAATACCATTTGGTTCTGATTCAACTTGTGCAGAAGCAGGTACTACCCATGCATGACCCGGTGAAGGTTCTAGGTCCACAAGGCCTGCCTTTAGGCAGGGGTAAACAACTGTTTCTGGTCTCTTGCACTGGCTGAGAGCACGGGCCTTTGGAATCCATCCTTTTTGGAGTCATCCACCTCCTGCTGTCATGCTTTCTTCTTCTTGGTTGGATGCAGAGGGTGGTGGAGGGGGCTGAGGCATCAATAAACCCAGGACTCATGGCCCCAGTGAACCCAGAAACTAAGCCCAGGGGTGGTTTTCAAAGCTGCCCAGGAATCAGAATGGCCTGATGAACAGACACACACTGCCAGGCCTGTCTCCCAAGATTGGGACCAGGTGATTATCAGCTGGCTGCATGTGGCTGAGAATGTACATTTCTAGCAAGCACTCAGGTGATATTGATGGTGACTTAGCACAATTTGGGAACCACAGATACCGGGTAGAACCATGACATTCAGTTCGCAGGAACAAGATATAAGAAAAGGGATACAAATGGACAACTCCCCTTTATCTGAATCTATCACAAGTTGATCCAGGAAACTGCTACAGAACTGGCAGGCAAGCAACCTAGCAGAATCTTGGTTCTGTTTCTAGGAAGCTTTATGACTTGGGCAAGTTAATTTACATCTGGACCAAGTTTTCTCACCTGAATGTCAAGTGGGTGTCCCAGCTAATTTCCAATAGCACTGAGCACTCTGATACATAGCCATTCGAAGCTCTACACTCTGCCTTGCCTGGGTATAAAATCAAATTGCCCTAACCAGACCACAAAGCAAACCTCAAATTCTATAACTGGCAGACAGCCACCACAAACACACTGCCATGAAAGCACTCTCTGAAGGAGGAACTCCTTTCCTTACCTGGCATTTCAGGGAGGTGAACCAAGCCAGGGTTTCCTGGTGTTCCTTTACTTCCATGTAATCCAGGCTGACCAGGAGTTCCAGGGAGGCCTCGGGCTCCTTTAGGCCCTGAAAACATGAATGTAAGTATTGAGAGGAAGGAAAAGCAGCATGACTGGCTATGATTTGTGATGCTCTGTCAAAACCCCTAAGCTCCTGGAGAACCTTTCCTATTCTCAGTTTTCCATGCTGCCCCTTCCAACAGCCACTCTATTGCCTCAGTTCCTAAGGTGTCCCCAGGAGGACTGGGGATCCCTGATGAGCTATGCTCAGCTTTCTTTGGCTCATGGCCCTAAAGAGTGTGCCCAGCTTCTCTTTCCATACCTGGGAAACCAGGAGTTCCGGGAGATCCTGATGGGCCATACAATCCAGATGTAATACAAGGCAAGGTGATACCTACAGATAGAAATATGGATGTATCTCATCAATTCTCCGAATCAGGAGCTATTTTTTCCCAGCTTTCTCCTTTAAGTGGGATGCCCAGTTTTCCCTACATGGTAGCTGAGAGCTCATGCAGAAAAATCATAGCATCAGAAGCTCTTGAGAATTTCTATCAGTGTGATTGTCTATATATTAGAATGTCTCTAATGTTCAAGGGCTGGGATGTTACTTACCAAGTTAGTGAGCAAGTAATAACCTATGCAGTAGATGTTACCTACCAAGGTTTCCTAGACGGGCTGTGCAGGAACAGCAAAAAACAATAGTCTATTCACTCTGATTTCAGATACAATACCTTGCTAGGATGGTGCTTGGAGTTAGTTCCTAGGGTCCCAGGGATTTTTTGATATACCTCATTTTATATATATATATATACACTGAAATCTAGTGATCGACCTTGGCCATAAACCTGTGTGTCTGTACCAGGAAAACACATAAGACTGTTCTCTTGGCCGTGACAGACAAATTCTGACCCTTTCCCTTAGCTCCTCAGTTCAACTTGTCTTCTCAAGGAGATGGGGTAGTAAATTTCAACTTTCAAGATGTCAATATTGGCATGCATAGTCCTTACCTTAGCAAATTATTCCTTGCTCATTCATGAAGCAAATAAAAAGATTCTATAAGATCAGAGGGGAGGTTTAATAAAATACTGGCAAATAAATTGTTTGTAGACTCCCTCAAGTGCCATTTACCAACAATTGCTATGCTAATTAAAATGAGTTTTGCCTATTCATTAAAGCAATCCCCCAAGGTCTGTTATAAACTACAGAGCCAACAGTGCTAATAAAGTGCTATGGCATTTGCCTGTACTTAAAATACATCACAAATTACATTTCTGAAAGAGGTACATAACCCAGGATTCAGACTGCTTACCCCACTGGGGGCATTCCTCTCCCAAGCCCACCTCTATTTTCTGGTATTTTTAGCCCACTGATTCTATTACTACATCAAGATTGGGAATTGAATAGTATAATGTATTGGATCAGAAGATGGACTCTGAAGGCAGACAAACCTGAGGACATTTCCCTGTTCTGCAACTAACTAGGATGCAAGATATTTCAAACTCTCTGAGCCTCATAAGCAGAATGGGAATGACCCATTTCATAGGGTGTTTGTAAGGATCTCATGGAACAGTGTTGAGGGCACTTAGCACAGTCTATGGCCCTCTGGTGCATGCTCAGTAAATAACAGTTCTTATTTTCCCATCAAAGAGAAGTATTCAAAAACAGCTCTTGTAAGGCCATGTCTTATGAGTTTACCACAGATTATTACCACTGTTTACCACAGATTAGTAATTCCAATGCATTGCCTAAGCAGCAGTTTTCTGCCTTCTAGATCTTATGTTTCTCAGTAATATTTCCACAGGTTGAGATAGGGCCATCATCTGGGATCTTCATTCCACAAGTGGTTACACCCACTTCCATTCTTCCAGACATTGAGATGGCAGAACTATTTCTGAGAATTATTTCCCTACTATGGAAATACACCCTATAGGTAAGCACTTCATGATGAGAGGTTTCACTGGGGTAGGTTGGGAGTGGGGAGGGCTTTCGATGCTATACCTAACAGTCTAACAAGAAAGGTCCTGCTGAAGACTCTCTTGCCTCTAACTCCCTCAATATGTTATTGCTTCCAATGTGTGAAGCTCGACCACTGCAGTTTTCTTGCTTTATGTTTTAAGAAACAAGCTTCAGGGGCTGGCATTGTTGGGTATGAAGTACAACCATTGCCTGTAATGCTGGCATCCTATATGAGTGCTGGTTTGATTCCTGGATGTTCCAGTTTCAATCCAGCTCCCTATTTAATGCACCTGAGAAAACAGTGGAAGCTGGGCCAGTACATGAACTCCTGCACCCACATGGGAGACTATAAGAAGCTCCTGGATCTTTGTTTCAATCTGGCTATTGAGGAGTGATCCAGTGGATGGTAGACGGAAGATTCTCTCCTCTTTCTCTTTTTCCTCTTCTCTCCCCCCTCCCATGTGTGTGTAATTCTTTCAAATAGATTAAATATTTTTTTAAAAAAGAAACGAGCTTAATAAAATAAAAATATTCCCAAACTGGGTCTGAATATGAAGCTACCCATCCTCAATTTATAAAATCAGTTTTAGATTCTTTTCACTAATGACAGGCAAATTAAACATAAAGCCTTTAGATGATGGAGCTAAGGACATGTATCTGGAAAGGTTTCAAGGACAGAAAAAGCAGTGATGAGAGGGATGATGGGTAGAAATCAGAGGGAGTAGGATATATTTCCTTAATAATTTTGCCTCAGATGCTCTGTATACTATACAACACTTGGGCATTGCAAGCAGAGATTCAAAATGTGAAGTAAGGAATCCATCTGCTGGTTCACTCCCCAAATAACTGCAACAGCCAGAGCTGAGCTGATCCAAAGCCAGGAGCCAGGAGTTTCTTCTTGGTCTCCCATTCAAGTGCAGAATCCCAAGGCTTTGGGTCACTCTTGTGCTTTTTCAGGATGCAAGCAGGGAGCTGGATCAAAAGTGGAGCAACTGAGACATGAACTGATGCCCATATGGGATGTCAGTGTTTGGAGGCAAAGGATTAGCCAGTTGAGCCAATAAGCTGGTCCCTGAATCTTTTATTTTAGAGCCATGACGTTTATTTTACATTCCTGAATTCAGAACCTTCTCCACAAAGCAGAAGTCAGCTCTATCCATGTTTTGCTTTGTAAGAGTAACAACTGATTTTATTATTCCTAATTTTCCCCATGAATGCCAAAATTTGGTTTCAGAATGAAAAGATCTTTAATGTCTCAATTTATTCTGGGTCCAATGGCTAAAAAAAACAGACATGTGTGGATCCTTCCAGATGCATCTTATGGCAAGTTATGGCTCATATTAATTTCAGAGAATTAAGTTGTTTCAGGTAGACATCAGCCAAGCCATTAATATTCATGGTGAAGGAAATCAAAGACTGCATACCCACTTATCCATGCACTCCCACTCAGGGCTTATATGATAAATTGCTTTTGAAGCAATGGGACTTACAGGGGCAATGTCTATGTCAGCTTTTGCATCCAGCCTTAAAAATCATTTATCCCCAGATAGGGGTTTCATAATGGGCCTCAGGCTATCATCCATATCAAAGACAAAGGTGAACAAAAAGGGAGGAATCTTTCACCTACACTGATGTCTGAAACTTGTAGACCTAGCTAGTGCTCATTTCCCTCTGTGTCTAAATTTCCTTTACCAGTCTTTTCCATTGCAGCAGCAATAATGTAGGTCAATCAAGTAAAGAAGAAAAACTAGCATAGAAGATTTTAGAGCACAGAGGAAGTCTTGTCTGCAGCCTAGATACACCCACCAATCAAATGACCCATCTGGATTGAGTGGAAAGAGCTGGCACCCACATGGCATGAAGTACACAGTAGCTGTTTCGGTAATAACTAAGGAGATTGATTATCATAAGCATCTGCAGTGGGGCCTCTTTGGAAGCAACCAGTTGTCTGCTTGCCCAAGGTTTATAATAATTCATGTTATTTTTAAAAAATTTTTATTTTGAATTTTTGAATTCACGCTATTAAGCTCAAAGGCTTTTGATGACTGTATTCAATTTCCTGGCAATGCTGCCATCTTAATCTGTGCTACCAGTGGTTTGAGTGGCTACATATAGGAATGGCATCTTAATCTTTGGTGGCGACAAAAAAATGGCTGAACTGTAAATTTCTGGGGACTTCATGTTATTTCTTTTCAAAATTGTGTATGAAGAAAGCATTGTTTGCTGTATTATATTTGGTTTCAGTAGAAGGGGAAAATGCATGTTCTTTAAGTACTTTTGAATGTGTTAGTACTACAACAAGAATACTTTATGTGCAAAGCATTCGCTCCTAAGACATGCCCTGGGCTATACCTTACTGCAGCACTACAATCCTAAAGTTTCTTTGTTCAAGGACTAGTACAATTTGGTACAGAAATGGCCCTGTGAACTTTCTTTTGTTGACTCAGTTTGTTCTCAAAATAGATGAAATGTTGACAATCACCAGAAGATTTGGGAATAAATTTATAAATGCCATGTTATTGTAACTCAGCTTGCAACCTAGCTGCTTCCAAAATAAGTTGATCTGAACTGAAGACTCACTAATTGAAAGAGGATCAGTTGAATGATCATAAGTAATATCTCTGAGAACAGTGCTGGAAACAAAGTTCTCTAAAGCTGACAACAATCAGGACTTCCAAAAGACAAGACAATTTTGCTATATAAAAATTCTCACCTTTCATAGAAATTTGTGAAATGGAATACCAACTCGCTGTCATGAAAATGGAATGATCAAATTTTAACCTGTACCATCATTCCTATTGCACAAATTCAACAAAACACAGGATTTAAACAAAAAAATGTTACAAGATATAAGAATTTTTTCATAATTCTTCAAGTTGACAAGGTAAAAAGAGAAATAGTCCTTTGATTATTGAGAAGGCCACTTCTCTTGAAAATGAATATTAGTTTCCTATGGAGCACTGCACTTGGCTAGGTAGATTGAGAAATGCTAGGAGATATCCTCACCATCCCTGCTATCCAGTTCACATGTGGCTGGGGAAAAAAAAGCATTAACGGAAGGAGATATATAATTTAAGTACCAAAGCACATTGGGAAAGTCTAGTAAACATCTTAACAGTGAAACTGGGTTTATGTTAATCCCTCAAAGAGGTGTATGATGTCAATAGAGAAAGGAGGAAGAACGCTCCCAAAAAGTGTATTGGCAAGAATTTGGTGTTGCAAAAGAAAATATTATGTTTGAATACAATCAAGAAAACTGGTGTTTTAGATGTTTTAAATTAGAGACTGTGAGATAAGATGGAAAAGGTTGGCTGTGTCTGTGTTTGGAGACTTTGGAATTCCATGCTGTGGAGCTTAGACATTACAAGCAATGGGGACCATTTGTGGTTCTGGAGTGGGGAGTAACATGATGATACTGGTCTTTTTATGGGTATTAAATTGGCAGCAGTGTGCAGAATCGAAATGAATGGTAAAAGTCTGTTGGTAGGAGATGAGGAACTGAATTAAAAGTTAGCATTCATTTACCCACACATCTATCAATACTTTCAGCCATTTATCTATCCTTCCATCTATCAGTCCACTCAATCAACTGCCCATTTGTTCCAAATTATATATAGGTATTTGGAAACTAGTCATAAAATAAGGATAATTGAATAGCAAGAGGAGGAGGGAAAGAATATAAAGGAATTGCACCAATGCAGGTGCGTGCTGCCTTTACACTGGTGTGGGCAGCTGGCTCGTAGGGGCCCGGGGGGTGCAGGGTTACAGGGGACCTGGCAGATGGTGTCTGAGGAATCATATGGGGACCTGGGGCTCACGCCCAGGCAGGCACAGTGATCCTGAGGATTTCCCCATGTGCTTAGTCCTAGGTGGGGTGGAGGGAGGAGAGGGGAGAGCCCTAGGCTAGCATGCTGACAAGATGTGCTGGTGGATCGCGCCTAGGGAACTTTGCATGGTCTTGGATCTTGGGTGTGCAGAGGGGTAGGGTTCCAGGCCAGCATACATGTCAGGAGCTTGGGACCCTAGCTGGCAGATAGACTCCAGGCAAGCATACAACCCCACTGGGAAGACTGGGCTTTGGGGGACTGGGCTGGGGATCCCATGCACCACCCTCCTCGGGCACTAGGACTGTGGATTACTCAGGAAAGGGAGTAAGGGGATGTGTGGGAGGGAGGACTTCTGAGGGAGCATCTTGCAAGTGAAGAATGGCTTTTGAGGAACTTTCATCAACAAGGTCACTGTACTTGCAGGTAAAGCAGGAGGCTGAGACCAAGCGGGGAAACTGGAGGACCTTTCTGGGTCAGACCAATGCACTTGCCCATGTAGGAAACCTGAACTGGGCTAGTTAGCATGAACCACCACCAACAACCACCACTGGCGCTCACTAAAGCTAGGGTTGGGAACCTGCCTGTTAGGGTTAGATCACAGAACCCACCAATGAGTGTCACAACAGGGGATGAGTAATGTTAGGCTTGCCATGACACTAACCAGCACATGAGAGAATCAGGTCTTGGAGCAGTTTCTATGGGGATATGTGGACTCACCCCTGTGGAACTACAATTTCCACTTGTTTGCTCAAGAGCTAGAGTACTGAAGGGCTGAGCTAGGGATAGAACCCTCTGAACCTCATGGATACTGCAATTGGGAATAGGCTGGGTCGGTCCAGGCTATAGCACCTGAAGGCACACCCAATAATAGGGTATGGGACGGGCCAGGCTGCGACATCCACCAGCTCATATGAAGGCTGAGATGGAAGATGAGGGGAGGAGGCAGACTATACTGGCACATGTGAGATATGGGTTTGTGAGTGGGTCTGATGGAAGAACTTGAGGATTTCCCCTGGTAGGTCATAGTTCCTGCTGATGAGCATGTGATTTGGGCCTGGGTATTCGTCATATTGGGCAAGGCACCTCCACCCATCCACAAGGGTGTGGGTTGGTTTTGGGGGATAGAGGGCTGACTGGGCAAAGTGGGGTTAAACCTTAGCACACTGGCATGTGCAGGAGCCAGGTTGAAATGTGGATCATGTTGGGTTTGGTTGTGATACCCACCGGTTTGTATGAGCCAGGGATTGGGGTATGAGCCTACCAAATTGGGTAGGGCTAGGCTGTAGCATCCACCAGCAACAGTTGCAACTGGGGGCAGCCTTGGCCAAGCCAGGCTGCAGCATCCAATGGCAAACGCCAAGACAGAGGATGTGCTATGCCCGGCTGGGTCAGAGCAACCATTGGCAGGAACAAGATCTGTGGCTGGGAACAGGCCTGATGTGGGAGATAAGGGGACACCTTCGCTGGGTTGTGGTTCCCTTTCGTGAGCACAAAAACCAGAATGGGGGTGGAGGACTGGGCTGGATATGAAACATGACTGCAGTGTCCATCAGCATGGGTGTAGACTGTGTCTGGGCTGTGCCACACTGTGCTAGACTCAAGTACCCACTGGTGCTAGTGAGAGGCAGAGTGAGTATAGGATGGGCTGGGCTACGTCTTGGCACCTGCTGAATCACGTGAGAGCTGTGTCTGGTTGTGGACCAGGTGTGGCTGGAGTGTAGCATCTAATAGTAAGAATCAGAATGGATTTGGGCTGGTAGAAAAGGCTACTTTTCCTGCCAGGGCAGGGGGTGGGCCAAGTCAGGCTAGACCAAAGACCCACTGGTGTGTGTGTATGAGATCTGCTACAGAAAGGAGACCTGACAGAGGAGCTTGGGGAACTTCTTTTCAGGATACAGTCCCTGAAGGTGAGGGCAAGAACTAGGGCTGGAAGCAGCCCAGACCAGGCCAGGTTACAGTGCCTGCTGGCATACGTGTGAATCAGGTCTGGGGGCGGGCCAGGCTGGGTCAGTTCATAACACCTACTGACAATTCTGAGAACCAGGAAGGAGTACAGGAGAGGCAGGGTTGGGATGCAACACCAGCCAGTCCACGTTAGTGCCTGGGGGCTGGCTTGGCTGAGTTGGGCTAGGCTGCAGCACCCACCAGCATGAGCTAGTACTGGGGGAAGACTGGGCTGGGCCATGCTACAGTACCCACCAGCGAATGCCGAGGTGAGACAGACTATGCCAGACTGGGCCACATCACCCACCAGCACACATGAGACCTGCAGGGTGGGGGTGTGAACCTGGTAGGAGGCAGTGTGGACTCCCCTGCTGGGCCATTGCTCCCACTAATGAGTGTGAAGACTGAGACTGTGGGTAGACCAGGCCAGGCAGAGCTATAGTGCCTGTTGGCCTACATGTGAACTGGGATTGGGAGAGCCAGACTGATTTGACTGACTATATCCACTAGTGCATGCATGAGCCAGAGTAAGTGCAGGCTGGTTGGGCTTTAATCACAGCATTAGCAGGCAACTGCTGGGATTGGGGCAAGCCCTGTCAAGCTAAACTGTAGAAACATCTTGACAGTAAAAGATCCAGGACTGGGAATGGGCCCAGTAGGGAAACTGACCACCAGTGGGACTGCAACTCCCACTGGTGATCATGAGAACCAGGGCTGGGGGTGTGTCTGGGTAGTGGGGTCAGTTGGGTAGAGCTGAGCTCCAGCACCCAAGAGCTGAATGGGATGTGGGAGAGACTGGACCAGTCTGCTCCACATGCTGGCATGAAAGGAACCAGGACTGGGATGGGCCTAGTTGGGGGGTCACTGGAGGTTGCTCTAACTAGGCTGCAGTTCCTGCTGGTGTACATAAGCGCTAAGTGTGTGGTGGGCAGGGTTGGGCTGGTCTGCAGCATCTATTTGTTTGTGTAAGAGATGGGGCTGGAGACAGAACTGACCCAGCAACTGCAACCACAAGTATATGTGTAGGCTGATGTAGATAACCAACCGAGCCAGACCTAGTACTGGCAAGTACACACAAGAATCAGGTCTGGGATCACCTCAGATGAGGTTTCTTTGGGGATTCCCCCCCCCCCCCCCCGCCAACTGAACCACTGGATTCAGAGCTCCAACCATGATCTGTGGTCTGACACGGAGTGCCTGTGTCAGAACTAGGCTCCTGAGTGGCTAAGACAGAGCAGTGGAGAGCATGCCCAGATGCACATGAAGGATATGGCAGTCCATTAGAGCCTACAGAGGACATCTGGTACCATAACAGAGGAAAGAGAACAGAACAAATTGCACAACCCCAGTCAAGTGTTAACAGCAAGCATCTGGACTAGTGGAGACTCTAAAGTGGACTACTTCAGCCCATGGACCTTGGGAGGATTTCCTCATCCTTGTTGCAATGAAATAAACAGCATTTCAGAACTGTTGAAACCACTTGAGCAGAACCCTGGGAGCATGCTCCTCATTGGGGGCCCTGGGATGACACAGGTGACTGTTCCCATCCCCGGGTATTGATGCATTTGGGATGCTGGGCGTGGCTTCTTCCCTTCTCTGCTCCTTCCCCCAGACATAGGAAGAAGAAAAAGAAAATTGGAAATAATGATCTCATTCGCTTTTCCCTAATTCTTGACTCTTCCCACCCTAATCAAGTGGTGCACATGGGCATGCATCCTTCTCAATTATGTAAACATCATCAAAAATAAAATCTAAAAAAATTCCTGTAAAAAATGTTTGGAGTGTTCTGTAAGTATGGGCTTGTGCATTTTCATTGCTTGTTTTGATCTTTCCAACATTGACTCAACTTTTTACTTCACAAAGAAATGTCCTGTATTAGAACAAAAGAATACAAAGGAATTACAAAGGAAGAATGTGAGGAATATGAGATAATTTTAACTTTTCACACTTCAGATGACCATAATTTCCCTGATAGCATAGCATAGCACAATTGTGAAGTCTTTTTACCATGAAAATCTTTAAGCGGAGTGAGGGTAGGGATTAGAGTCAGTCAAGTCTCTTTTGAGGACCCACTTCATGAACCTGGGTCTTAGCTATTCAGTCATAGGTACTTTCCTGAAGCCAAAGCTATCTGATTGCACGACTCACCTGGAGACCCAGGGGGACCTTGCTTTCCGGGTAATCCATCTCTTCCTTGTTCTCCAGGAACTCCACGAGGTCCAGGAGGTCCTGGGAGTCCAATCCCTGGGAGACCAATTGGACCACGATGACCTTTTTCACCCGGCTGTCCTGGGAATCCTTTTTCACCCAGAAAGCCTTGTCCACCATCACCCTAGACAACATGTAGAAAATAATGAAAGTCCAATCCAGAAATTCATCTGCGGAGTCCTCTGACATAGAAAAGTGGTAACTGTTAATGACCAATACTTTACAGCTTGTTAAAATTTTCTATCACTCTAGCGTATCAATTGGCTTCAATAAGCTTAGTGAATATGAATTTCATCAACTTTGGGTGATCTGATTGATGCAAAAAGTTCTAGATGAAGGTCAGAGGAGAGCACAGGAAAGGAGCATAGTAGCAACAGTGCTGGAATATAGAAAGCAACTGAGTTACTTGTAACAGAAGTCATTGAAAACAGAGGCATTTTTAAGTGAGAAGTTCAATTGTCACTGTTATTTATCGGATAAGACAATGGCCCACTCTGAGAAATGAAGTTCTCATCTTACAGAAAGAAAAGCATGAAGCTAAAGTGCCAGTGGCAGAGGAAAGGTGAGATGTGCCAGATTGTCCCTTTTATGTTGCATGTAATTATTCAGTGGGAATCAGATACCTAATCCAGAAGTCAGATATGAGGATGTATAGCAATAACCACCCAGGAATGACCAACTTACCGGAAGACCTGGTACACCTGGCAAGCCTGTTGTTCCATCTTTGCCTTGGGCTCCCGCCACACCAGGGAATCCTTGGGGACCAGGATCACCCTTCTCCCCTGGCATTCCTGAGTGTGTATGGAGAGTTGCCTCCCCTTTCTCTCCTTTTGAGCCTGGAGGACCTGCAGGCCCAAGTAAACCCTGACAAAGAGACAAAAGAGAACACGCAGGATTGTTCTACTTCAGAGTTCTGGAATATGGAACAGGAATGGCATCAGATCCTGGTACACTCGATTCTATTGCCATACTGGAGAATACCTTTCCATTTATTTTATGTTCCATTCAAAAATTGCACAGCATTGAAAGTTCATCTTAATTTGCATATTACCTCCAGGGTCCAACATAGTGCTGGGTAAGTGTAAACAATTTTGTGAAATGAAGTGAGAGAGGAAGGACAAGAACATGGGTAGGTTAACGTGAAATGGAAGTCTAGAGACACTCAGTCAGACTTCATTAAAGACTCAAAGTGTTGTTTTATCCGCATATTGCTTTCATATGTTTAAGGGAAATGATTCAGGTGCACTAAAGGACACTTGAAAGTTCCTTCCCATTGCTCAGTCAGGGTCAAAGTTTGGCAAGACTTACTGGTGTCCCTCCTGGGCCCTGTGTGCCTCCAGCTCCAGGATCTCCTCTGATTCCTTTTATTCCTGGCGGGCCCATAAGACCCTGTGGCCCACGTTGGCCTGGCTCCCCAGGTGGTCCAGTGTTGGAGATACCACCATCACAAACACAAAAGCCAGCATCCCCTAAAGTAAAGAGGACAACACAAAATCAAATGGACCATCATTCCAAGAAGAAGAAACACCACACAATGATTATTTGTGACTCAACAATTCCATGGAGGCAATCGAAAGGTTGATAAATAGTAAACAGACTCAAATGAATGAGGTTCATTCTCCATCTGCATAGATGTGTGTTAATGGTTTGCATTTCATTGGTTGAAGACAAGGTTCAGCTAGTGGGTCTTCTATAAAGCCAGAGTTGAGAACCACTGACATCCGTTTACCCATTCATGAGAGACTGGTTTCAAAGTCATTCAACATTTACTTTATCGAAATGTTTTCCCCCTACATTTTGTACATACAACACAAATGCCAAACAAAATTATTATAGGGATCTGAAACAAAGCACCATTGAAGAGGAATCAAGAAATCCTTGACACTGTAGCTAAATCACCTATACCTTCATGTTTATGGTCATAAAAATGAGAACTGGTGCCAACAGAGGTAATTTTGTGTTCCCCTTCAACTCCTGGTGGCCTTTTCCTATTTTTAGAAAATTGATAATACTTGAAACACCAAAAGAATAATCTGTTCTTCAGATTAGTATTTCTGAAGTATACTATGGATTTCCAGCATAAGTCATCTGATACCGGTTGATGAGGTACCTTGGTGACTCCTTCTCATTCCTAATCAATTAGGCTCTTAATAATAAACCTCCTAAAATTATGTATTTATTTGTTTGAAAGACATAATGCCACACACACACACACACACACACAGAGATAGAGAGAGAGAGAGAAAGATAATCTACCATTCACTGGTTTACTCCCCAAATGTCTGCAACTGCCAGGAGTCAAGGCTGTGACAGGCAGAAGTCAGGTACTCAGGGGCCCAAATACTTGTTATCTTCTGCCTTGCAAGGTGCATAGCTGTGAGCTTAGGGGAAGCTGGGCTTGAACTGGCAGTGTGACATGGGATGTTGACATTGCAAGCACTGCCTTGACTTGCTGCCCTACAGTACCAACTCCAAGAATATGATCTTCGAGAACTTCTCCTAGGTGATTTCCATGTACATTTGTGCCTGCTAATAATGATCACTATTCTATATTTAGAGAAGACTTTGATCTGGAGTAACAATGCAAGGTATAGCCTTAGAGCAGTCCCTATTTTAGGAATTAGAATGGTATTAAACAAATATATCAGCTCAGCAACATGGTGAAGGTCTAAAACGATCATCCTAAATTTGGACTTGCAATTTAAAGTCCTTTCTTCTCAGTCTCCTTTGCACCTGAACAGTAGAGACAAAGCTTTCAGAAATTTGGAAGCTAGCTCCTGTTCTTAGCAGTGATCTTTTATGACAAGGCAGATAAAAGAGTGAGTTATATCTTCTGTATTTATGGCTGAGGAGACAAATTTGTAGGAAGAAGAGGAAATCCTAGTTACCTGAATGGCTATGACACTCTTAAATCTCTCTCCAGCTAGTATTTTAACCTCTTAGTCTACATTGACTTGGGCCACAACTCTATGGAATGGACTATGTGAGCATCCTCCTCTCAAAATATGGAATGAGGAAAGACCCAAAGGCAGTGAAAAGATAGAGACAAGTGATGCAGTTGATGGCTAGAATCATCAATCACTTCTGCAGTGTTACAGGAGTTATTTTCCCAAAGGCAGTTGATCATTTTGAGCCCCAAGTCCTGAGCTATTGAGAGAACTTTCTTTCAGGCTAGAGGTTATGTGAATTGGCTTCCAAGTCTTGCACTCGCCATGTGTGAGGCATTGTAGTATATGGTGGTTAATACCCTGGGATACCAGCAGAAGTTTCTGCTATAATCAAAGTGCCAACCAAGAGCCAAGATTGCTTCTGTTCAGGTTCATAAGACTACTGATTTGCTCATTCCTTATAAAACCTTCCATAAGGAGCCTGAGGAATAAAGAAAACCAAAGGGACAAAAATCACCTTTTACTCCCTTGAGTCCTGAGTTTCCTTTTGGACCTTGTACTCCTCGGAGACCAGGGAATCCTGGTTCTCTTCCGTGTAGGGTTCCAGTCCCAAGCAATGGACCTATGGAAGAGAAGGAACATAAAGCACTGGCAGTTCATGCGAAAGATGACTAATTTCACTCAGCACATCATTCAAGCCTAGGTCCTTGAGGTTCAAACAGCAGAGTAGAAACAAATCAACAACCATCAAGACAGGCACCTCAAGCCTGCAGCAAATATTCAACAGGCATTTCTGTTCAATTCACTCAACTAATACTTCCAGAATGTTCCAGGCACTGCACTAACTCCTGCGGGTACAGAAATGAATAAAGCGGTTTCAGAAACTCAGCTTCAGTATCTACCCTAGCCATGCTTGGTTTCTTCTTGGACTCGCAGCTAAGCCCATTGGAGCCTTGAGGGCCAAGAACAGCTCTACAGAGACAACGCTGTTCCTTTAAGAGCTGAAAAGCAAGAAGCCTATGGGTTGAGAACAGTGAAGGCTGGGAGGGAATGGGTATAGAGGCTGGAAGGAATGTGGTAGTGCCTGCTTGTTAAGATGACCCTCGCTTGCTTGTCCCTGATTAAGAACCCTTCTGTAGTTGATGTAAGTAGAGGCAAGGCTCTAACTTAAAGAAGCTGAGGCTTTCATCATTGCCCCTCTGCAGTTTTGTGTCCTGGTGTAACTGTTTTATTTTGAAAATGTTTCCTCAAAATCCCGACTGTACTTTATTCTGAATCACACCTGAGTCTCAAGCGAAAACAGATGTGTAACTTACCGGGTGGGCCTCTTGGGCCTGGTAGCCCTGGCAAACCATCTTTGCCTGGGAGGCCAGCTGGCCCAGTAGTGGTATGGCCTGGGTTTCCTTGGTCCCCCTTCAAACCTGAAAATCCTTGAGGGCCAAGGGTGCCTTGAATACCTGGAAGGATAATCCAACAGGGAAAACATATTCATTATATCACTTCAGGAATATTCCAATCAGTGGTATACATTGGAAAAATCCCCAAGAGAAGAATTTGAGATCAAAGGTAGAAGGCTCCTTGGAAAACAGGGAAACATGAATAGGGGCACAGAGCTTATTGGTGGCCTGAATGAAAAACCTGGCTGTCTAATATTTCCATTTTTCTACTTTGGTTTTGTGGCTAGCTCTATCTCTTTCTTTTTTTTTTTTTAAAGATTTATTTTTATTATTTTTTCACTGGAAAGGCGGATATACAGAGAGAGGAGAGACAGAGAGGAAGATCTTCCATCCGATGATTCACTCCCCAAGTGAGCGCAACGGGCCGATACTATGCCGATCCGAAACCAGGAGCCTCTTCCGGGTCTCCCACGCGGGTGCAGGTTCCCAAAGCTTTGGGCCGTCCTCGACTGCTTTCCCAGGCCACAGGCAGGGAGCTGGAAGGGAAGCGGGGCTGCCGAGATTAGAACCGGCGCCCATATGGGATCCTGGGCGTGCAAGGCGAGGACCTTTAACCACTTGCGCCACCGCGCCGGGCCCATAGCTCTATCTCTTTCAAGTGATAGCATTAAAAACAGATTTTTGGAGGTTGGGATTGTGGTGTAGCGGGTAAAACTACTGCCTGTGATAATGGCATCTCAGACTGGCATTGGTTTGAATCCGTGCTGTTCCACTTCCTACCCAACTCCCTGCTAATGTGCCTGGGAAAGCAGCGGATGACGGCCTTGGAACTCTACACTCATGTGGGAGACCTGGATGAAGCTTTTGGATTCTGGCTTCAGTCTGGTCCAGTCCTGGACATTCCAGCCATTTGGGGAATGAACCAGAAGATGGGAGATCTCCCTCTATCTGTGTTTCTGTCTCTGACCTCTGTGCTTGTAATTCTGCCACACACACACACACACACACACACACAGGATTTTGACAGTCATCTCTAAGGAATTTAGAAACTGATAACTTAAAAATTAATATTGGAGCTTTATATCTGAGATATTCCTACCATTCAGACTGTGGTATAGCCTTTCTCTACATGTCACTATCTAGTGACATATGGGTATGCCCCTCTGGTGAATTGTTTCAAGGGTGTCACCCATAGGAACTAATGACCATGTGGTGTCCAAGTTAAGCCTATAGTTAAGTTCTGGGTACCAATTTTCCTCTGGAATTTTGTTATCCCCTCTTTGCTAAGCCTCAGCTCTGATGAAAACTCCAGAGCTGTGACAGGGCTTTAGTAGCATGATTGAGACCTCCCCAGTTCACTACAAACCTCAATAACAGCCTGAAATATCCTGTCCAGATCTGATACATTATTTATTTCAACAGAAATCTTCTCACGATGACCCTAACCCTACATTCATTGCCCTTAGTGTGGAACCTACTGACTATAATCTACTTTTGCTTGCATGTTGGCAAAGGAATAGAAAGGGATGCTGGGAACAAGAGCAGATAGAAGGTTGATCTACGCAGGACATGGAATAGATTGTCTCACCCGGTAAGCTTGGGAGGCCTGGGGCACCAGGAGGTCCACGTGGTCCCTGAACGCCTTCATCCCCTTTAAGGCCTGGCTGGCCTGGCATACCAGGGTCTCCAGGATAGCCTGAAATTACAATGAAAAAAAAAACACACACACACAAATGAGGTTTACAAATGCCACCAAATGCTCAAGTATGTGGAATCTAACTATATCTTTTCTTTTCCAGTCAAGTCAATGAAAAGTTGTACCTGCTATTACAGCACCATTGACATCGATGAAAATGTCCGGGCCTGGCAGGCCAATGCCACCTTTTTCACCCTGGAAAAATTAAACACAATAGCCTAAAATATTTTTGTGACCTCATTCCCCAAAATCTATGTGTTCTCAAACTAATCCCTAGCTTCTATGACCTCTGATTTTCAAGATCTTCTAGTCCATAAGTCAATATCAAAGGTCAACACATTTAAGATGAATATGACTCAAGGCAAGCCATCAATCTGGCAGTGACAAACCCATCAAGGACAAGGAATCCCAGTTTTGTTTTGCAGCCCTACTACAGGACAATCTGCTTCTGGGCCTGGGAAGTGTATCATAGGCACAAGACAACATGATTAATCCAAGAGGTATCATGGGTGGAGCAATGTTTCAACTTTTTTCTGCTCTCATCAGGTCTGAGAATGTGCTACTCAGTACTTGCTAGTAGATGATATCAGTTGATGTAAGGAAAACAATTCCTAATTATCTTCCAAAAGGGATTCAGATATTCAGAAACAGATAAAATGGTATATTCAAGTTATTATGATGGTGGAGCTCTTTGTACCAAGTACAGACAAAAAGGGAATGGGATAGATTGTATACAGAGAATTTCAAGACAATAATAAAATCTAAAAGTTGGCAATTCTTGAAAAAATGTCAGTAACAAAATATTCCTTCTCTTAGGAATGGAGTTGCTTCCATCAGCATCTTTCCCTTAGCTGATCACTTGATCGAGTATTTAAGAAATGCTTTATCAGTGCTACTGGTTCAAATTAAGTCTCATGTATTTCTTGAGAAAAGAGTGACACCTAGTTCCTCAAAAATGTTTAAAATACTTCACCTCATATTTAGATATTTATGATAAACTTCCACTCTTCTGTTTTCTCATTCTATTTTCTCACTCTGTCTATTTACTTTAGAGACATTACCTTAATTCCAGGGAGTCCATTTAGCCCAGGGAAACCTGGTGACCCCTCCTTGCCCTGCAACAGAACACAGTTATCACCAAGTTGGAAGTAATAGAGCATGGGGGGAGCTGGTCTTTGCTTTAGGTCAGAACAAATGGTATAGCGATTGTGGCTGTCATTCCAAACTAACTCTGACTTCTTCCTGACTCTGGAAGCCATAAAATTTTGCAGACTACAAAACACAGTACTAGAAAGTCAACTTACACTTCAAAGTAGTACAAAAGTCACAAGACTAGGTAGGGATAGATACAAGATACAAATAGGCTGGCCTTGCTTGGCCATGATAACAGATGACCATGTCGTGGCATAGTAACACTGAACCTGTCACTGGATACCCACATTCTTAGGTGAAAACAAAAGAGAGTGGCTAATATTATACTAGTAAAAAGGAAGTGGACAATTTGCATTATAAGCAATTGCATCTTTGCCATATTAAATAAGGCAAGGGCACTTTTTTTTTTTTTTAAATTAGGATTGTGTACACCAAGACTTAAACAATATTAGCCAAAATACCTGTTCTCCTGCAGGACCTTGGAATCCTTCTGAACCAATAGGACCCTATAAAGAGAACAGTTCACCTTAGACTGGTTAATTGCCAACTAGAAAAAGCTGCTAGTCTTATGTAACAAAGCTATCCAACTTACTTCAGGATTCAGTGACTCCTAAAAGCGGGTAAGAGAATATTCCTTGTCTGACCTTAGTGACTGCTTAGTACTGATTCATCAGGCTAGATGGCCACATGGAGCAATTTTTTTAAAGGGCTAAATACATGGAAACGTTTTAAGGAGTGAGTGGAATTTAATGGAAAGAGTAGATGGTATTATACCTAGTCTGCATCATGTCCAAGTCAGAAGATTTTAAAATAGATTATGGAATGGCTTTCTTTGTCTTTCACCCCAAACACATTCTTTGTTGGTTGATGATGTATTTTTGAGACAGGAGAGAGGGAAATATAAAGAAACAAATGCCAGGGCAAATGAATTAATGTTCATAAATACTCAAAGGATTCTTAACTCCACAACCAAGGCAAAGCTACAATTCTATTAACTGTCACTTCTTTGAGACTAAGCTGGGCCAACTGCATATAGCTCAAGATCTAAGAGCCTAAAACTGGCAATCAGAAAGTCTGACACTTATTTCTCCATTTGAAGTGAGATTATTATTGGAAATTGTTGACACCAAACATCACTCATCATATTCTAGAAATTCTAAGGATTGTGTCTTTCCTCTAACGATCACACTTAATCCTCTTTCATGCAGCCTTGTGCCATTCCCCTTGCTAATATTCCCTCAGAATCAAATGCAATAAAAGCAAGACAGCATTCCCATCGTTTTATACCAGAAGGTAATTATACGTAAGGGTGAGGGGTGTAAGGCTGAGGAGCCACCTAGAGCAGTAAGGCATAACATTCTTCAAGGGAGCCACTCAGTCAAGGAAATGGAGCTAACTAAGTGGAGGGGAGGAAGTCTTAAAGCTTCCCGAGTTAAGGAAGAAAAAAGAAGTATAGGTAATCATCAAGGTATTTAACCAAAAGGCAAGCAACATTCTGGGCTCATACCCTGGGTCCTGGCAAACCAGGAATTCCCTTTTCTCCCTTTTCTCCAGTAGTTCCGAATCCCTGAAGGGAAAGAATGAAATCAGAAGTTAGAACACTCATTTTTCACATGATTTCCACTGTTCCATGTAGAAGCCTCATCGTGCTTTGTCATCATCCATGAAGGAATACTGAAACTGAACACAGTTCGAACCAAACATTCAAGGTTCCACTTGGATTCCAGGAGCAGCATTATTTCTCTAAAACACTATGACAGGTATTTACAGCATTAAGAGCTAAGAGCACAAGAATCGTTAAATAACCAACTTTATTAATTTTACAGATAGAAAACACAACATCCCAGAAAGTTGAAGAATAGATGAGAAAGCCAGGCCTTCTGACTTCCATTTATGGGCCATTTCTATGAGAGGCACTTTCTTTCTATCATCTAGGAACTTGAGTCTTTGATCTAGAATAGAGCCGTGTACAAATCCTGGTGGGTCGCTATTAGAGGGAAGAATATTTCCCCTTTGGAGACATGATGATTGCAGAACTCTTTCTGCATTTCTGCAGGGGCAAGGCTTTGAATCCTTTGGCTCCTGTGTGGGGATTGTAGGGCTCTTGCCCAGCCCCATAAGCCCTGCAAAGGGGAGTGTGAGATGATATCCAATCCCTTTGTCCTGCTCACAGGAGGTGAGGGAGGTTTGCCGTAGGGGTGGGTGACTTTGGATTTTGTAGGTAGAAGCAGGGAATCCAAGAAGCTTGTGAGAGCTTTCCGAACAGGAAAGTTCATGACCAAAATGCATGGAAAGATTACCTGAAGACATTTTTGTTGCTGTTTAATAGTATATGTTTTGGAAATGAGATGTTGGCAAACAACATTTAGGCCTATTGTGAGAATAAAGGAATGAGTGAAGTTTTCACAAACTTCAGTTTGCAAAAAGACACTAAATGTAATGGCACGTCTCCGCTTTTCCCTGGATGTGACCTGGCTCAGCTGATGTGAGGGCACTGCTCCACACCCGTTTGTATTTTTCTCTTCCTTTTATATACTCAGTGTGTTTTCATGGGTTCTAAAAGCTGGCTGAGTACCCTTGGGCTTTCTTGGCCCCAGGATTTTGGTTTTGTTTAATGTGGTTTATTATTATTGTCTTTTCATTGAGGCAGTGTATGTCTGAGAAGGGTCCAATAGAAAAAAGCCCTCGGTTCCTCCTTGCCTTTTCTCTTTTTGGTATCCATGGTTATGTGTCAAATAACTCAGCCCTTATGCTGAACAGAATTTCTTACTTGAAAGGCTTGGTGGGTCATACTGAATGCAAACGTATCTGCAACTTCTGTCTGCATCTCCATATTGGAAACTCAGGCATACTGCTACCCAGTGGAATGTCTGTTGCCCTCTGAAGTCAAACACTTCAAAAGCATCCAGGCCTGATCTTACCATGACTGTAGTCTCGGCCTCTTAAGCCCTATGACTGGATGTGTTTGAAGGCTCTCGATGCAGCAGGTGTCTGTCACAGTTTCTTCCTTTTCCCTCCAAGGCACGTTGCTGCAGTCTAACCACTTATAAGGTGGTTTGATAATAAATTGCCAACTTGAATAATCACTCAGAGATTATTCATCAGAGTACTCAAGTGCAGGCAGGAGAGAACATCCAGCAACCATCTCATGCCCTGCCCACCCCCACCTTACCCACTCCTAAAAACAAGGGAGCCCTGTGCTCCTTTGGGAAAACAGGGAGGGCCTTTGGATTCTTGCTGCCTCAGCTTGTATTGCATTGTGAATGAAAATAAGTACTTGAAAAGTGTTTAAAGGAAAAAATTGAAAAGAAATGTATTGTGTGTGGGGTGGGGTTAGAGCCAATAAAAGATGAATTACTTGGCAAGGTGCTGTGCTCCGGGCTCTTGTGTTGCGGCATCAAGGACCCTGCAGAACACTCTATTCTAGCAAAATGTCTTGGGACCTGGCCCCATCAGGCTTAGCCATGTCTTGAGAATTTCTGCAACTGCTGTGCTTACCTCTCCCTCACCCCCACCCCACTCTACTCCCATGGCCCAGGCAGCCTCATCAGAGCACCAGCTTAGCTCTTTGCACACCTGTGCCTGCACCATTGACTCCTGCATTAACAGTTCTGGGATGGCTTTATTGCAGGCAAACCCCATCTACCCAGCTGTAGTTACCTTGGATACACTAATAGTTCTCAACATTGGCCAGCTTGTTCTTTCCCTCTCCGCATCTTTTCCATTTTGCCTCCCTCCTGTTTGCTAGTCCCTTGGACAGAGGATACGTGGGTAGAGAGGGAGCTGTGACAACCTGTAATGGGAGGCCCTGGAGAAGTGTGCTGCCAGGGACAACAACAGTCAGCATGTGATGCTAAATAGGAGCCAGAAAAATCAGGGATGCTTGCACATGACAGAGGAAAGGGGCAAGAGAAAGAAGGTCAGGCATAAATCTGGCATGTTGATCACTTTGTGCTCTGCAAAGATTTGAGCTCAGAGGGAAAGACAGCAAATGGTTAAAACGAACATTTGGATTCCTAGAGATTTCTGTCCTCAGCACCGACTTCCTTGTTTCTCAGGGAGCATGGATAATTGAAAGCCGATGTGTGTGGGCTTAGAAGCTGAGAAATGTGTTTCCTTTGAAAAGCCCAGAGTACTTTAAATACATCATCGCCTTCTACTCACAACTTTCCTGCCAGAAGGCAGGTAGGGTATGTGTAAGTGTTCCCATTAAACAGACAGAGCTGTTAGGATGAAGGAATTACACAGTTTAGCAAGGATCACACATAGAATCTGTGCCAAAGTGGGCTGGGAACTCAGGCTGTTGCATTCCCAGCCCAGGAAAACAAGCTGCCCTGTGTATAGGGAGGGATTGTCACTGCTTTCATGCCTTTACCATTGGGGTTTCTGCTTTTCAGCCCACACAGTGAAACACTAGCCTGGTATCGGCATTGCAATAATTTATCACTGTGCATTGTCGGCAGTCGGTCTCTCTTCTAACAGGACAAAAGGGAACGCAGTGAAACCAAGCAGGGCAAATCCTCTGTGGGTGAACGGAAGGAAAGGGGAGGGAGACAGCATGAACCAGAGAGCCCCTTGTAACAACAGAGAAAACATCAACTCCTTTCTTCGAGATTGATGGAGAAAAACACCACCGCTGTCCTGGCTAGGCCGTCCTGAACTGTAGAGGGCAGTGTGGGATGGGGGAAAAGCACTGAATTGGCTGGAATTCAGGAAAGCTGAAGTCTGATCTCAGCCTTGCTAATAAACAGCTATGTGACTCGGAACAAGCCTCTTCAACTGTGCAAACCAGTTTTCTTGTCAGTACAAGAGGGATAAGCCCAGCTCAACTTGCTGACTTCACAGGTGTAATGCAAGGGGAGAAGAATCTCTGTGAAACCCTATATAAACAAAAAGGCTCATCTTATTCCCAAATCATTTGTATATGTGTGCTGTCCAGTAAAAATATATGAGGTGAGCTACAATGCTGCTTTACTAGACCATCTGCCATTGTTTGTACCTACAAAGCCATGACACACTCAACAGCAGAATGCTGACTGTTGCTGAAGGGCTATGCTGTTGTGACAAGATGGGGGAAAACAGTGGGGGATTGAGTGAGGGGTGAGGCAGGGAATCCCTGTGCCTCTGAAACCACATCATGAAAAATAGTAATAATGGAAAAAAGAAAAGATAAACAATTAATATAGGAGCTTAATTTATAATTATTTTCACATTGAAATAAAAATTGTTATTTGGGTATGTTAGACCTTTTCATATGAAATTTTGGAGATCTGGTGTGTATTTTACACTTACAGTATGTCTTGTGCTCACTTTGGCAGCATGCATACTAAAATTGGAATGATACAGAGAAGATTAGCCTGGCCCCTGTACAAGGATGACACAGCATGTCTTAACCATATCTCTAGGGTGTGGTACTCACATGTGGTTCTCTTACTGGATAGCACAACTTCGTATTTAGTAGAGAAACTTCATATGAATTGTTAGTTGGGCCTCAGAAGAGTGTATATGATCACTGCTATATTATAGATGCAGAGACAGGTTCACTGGCTTGTTAAAGTCCAGAGCTAGTGTAGGGATAAAGTTAAGCTGTTCTGTCTCCAACACTAGGATTCTTTTCCTCGCCAACTCATTAGCTACAGAGTTGACTAAAATGCAGCTCACTAAATCAGAGGATATTGAACTGATGATTCTCTATGCCCCTTTGTTTCTCAGGTGTAGCGGGAGCCCTAATGGAAGTAACCTATGCAACTGGCTCCACTGGCTCTGCATTCCAGCTGCCCAGAAAGCCCAACAGTGTTCCAAAGACTGGAGTATACTGGAGACCGGAGTCATCTGTTTCCATTGTGCCAGCAAGCAGGGACAAGCCTTGGCATCAATGACTCCTCTATTTCTCTCTTGATTCCTACCCCTGGCCCAGGAAAATCTTGTTAGCTCCTTCTGCAAAACTACTTGTGATTTAAGACACATCAGCCAAATGTAATGTATTGGTCTTGCTCGGTTTCTCATCCGGACAAGGTAACTGTGAAAATATGTAGATGTTTAACCCAATATGTGTTTATTTATGGGACAATCATAAATTTGAACTCTGCTTACTTACTGGTATTTAGTAACTACATACAATTAATTACCGATGATGGTACTGCCAGTGTATTTTGAAAAGTCCTTATCTTTTAGAAATATTGAATTATTTATTATCAAGTGATATGCAAATTTTTGCTTCAGATTGGCAGTGAGTTCCTAATGAATGAAAAGTGTGTGATGGGTACACAGGGCACACATTATGTCATTCTCTCTGCTTTTGCAAATGCTTGAAATGTTCCCTAATAAAAAGTTTAACATTTTGTTTATGTTTAAATTTGGAAGGCATCTGCTTTTCTCCATTTCCTTTGCTATCAGCATACTCCAAGCCACCCTCACTGTGCCACAACAGCCCCTGTGATGCCAAACCACCCTCTTTAATCCCCCAAACCCTCATCCCCTGCAGTCTCAGAGATGTTAAAACTCAAAGCAGAGACTCCATTTGAATGGTTTTCTATTGCACTTAAATTAAAAGAAACGGATGTCTGAACTCCAAAAGTGGCTGAGATCTGGCTCCAGTTGCTCCGTCCATTTCTCGGCCTCGCTTACTCTGCTCTTTCTGCTAACCTTCGTTTCTGTGCTTCAAAGGTGCTGGGCTTTTGCCAGCTTCACGCTCCTGGCTCTTATGGTTCCCTCAGTCCGAAACCGTATCAGATCTTCTAGCTGTTTCTTCACAATGTACAAACCTCAGCCCATGCATCACTTCCTCTGAGTCTACCCACTGGGCAGCCCCTCTTCTGCCACTGTTGGTGGTTTTGTTCTTCAAGCGTACCACTATGCAGGCTTGTTATTGATTCATCTGTTTCCTTGCTTATCATATGTATTCCCCCTCCCCATTTCCTCATTAAAATGTTATCTCAGGGACAGGAAGTTGTATTTAGTTACTGCTGTAGTTCCCAAACCCAGCAAAATGTCTGGTACAAGGGAGTCTTCTAAATCTTTTTGTCGGGTGAAAGAATATAATCTAGGAAGGCAGATATGAAAATGAAAACAGGGAAACTATGATGAGCTGCTATAGACTGAACAATTGATACACTCAGCCCATGTATGAAAAGATTCAGAAACAGGCTCAACAAAGCTAAGAAACTTGCATAAAGCCACACGGCTGAAACAGATGGAACTACAAGGTGATTCTACATCTATTTTAACTCTAGAGCCTCAGCTAATAATGTTAAAGACATCCAGCTTCATGGAGAATGATGCTAACATCCCCACAGGTTTAAAAGATAAGAATATTTTTTAAAGACTTTCTAATAATGAAGATGCAGCCTTCTCTACAACTATGTGAAGAGGTCTTCCTGTCAGCCACCTGTTGTTACAGCTTTTGGCCCTATCAGACCCTGGAAAATATGTTGATCAAACAGGGAGACTTACTGGAAATCCTGGGGGTCCAATTGTGCCTGGTATACCTTGAGGCCCTGTTTCACCCTGGAAAACCAATCAAAAAAGAGTAGTTAGTGGTGGCAGGAAGCAATGAACACAAAGGAGACTGATTTCCTCAGAGTACTTGGACTGGAAGTAGTGAACCAATGAGGTGTCTGCAGTGGGCACCACAGGATGGTTCAGGTTCTCAAGGCTTCTGACTGGTAGCAATGTAGTTCTGGAAGTCTTTATTTGTATGGGAAGGAACAAGGCCCGAGGCTGCCCAAAACAGAATCTGAAATGCTCAAGTTAATTGGGAGACACGATGGATGATTATCGGTTTTCTTTCTCAGGGAAGAAGCTGCATAGTATGATTTCTTGTAGCAAATTACAGGCTGCAAAGAAATCAACAGTTTGGAGAAATCAGTGACAATTACAATTTAGATACAGATTCATGATGTTCCAATCTGCCTTTCCCTGATATACCTACTTATCTTATGTATCCTGGAAGGACTCCATCAGGTTTGGGAATTATCAGGGAGACAGGCAATCTTTCATATGCACTCAAACTGTTTCTATTGATTATTTTTTGGTAACACAAGGAAGACCTGGAGCTGTTGCTTCCATAAAGATAAAACTAAACAAATGGGACTAAATGTGTCTTATTATCTAAGCTCCCCTTAGCCAAGGGAATGGAATCATGCAACATGAAAGAACCTCAGGAAGGAAGAGATGTAGGCAACTCAAAGATAATTGCACACCTTAACAGCATACATCCATTCAAATGCAAGTATGTATATAATATGTAACACAAAAAGATATATATCATGAAATATCTCAGTTACATAGGTTTGGGTAGTTTAGGCCACGTGAATTAGGACATCTATTGTCACTTTGTGATGGCACCTCAGATTCAAAGGGTCAGGTTTGGAGGGCAAATAATTCCTTCTAGAAGGGTAAATCAAAGGCTGATTGTGACTCTATAGGTTAAGCCACCACATGCAGAGCCACCATCCCATATTGGAGCACTGATTCCAGCCTTGGCTGTTTCATGTCTGATTTGTCTTCCTGCTCATATATCTAGGACAGCAGTGGAAGATAGCTCAAGTGCTTGGACCCCTGCCACCCACATAGGAGGCCAGGATAGAGTTCCTGATTCCTGGCTTTCGCCTGGCTCAGACCTGGCTGTTGACATCTGGTGAATAAATCAGAGGATGGAAGATTTCAATCTCTCTCTTTCTCCCTCCCTCTCTCTTATTTTCTTTCAGTCTGCATTGCAAATAATTAAGAAAATAAATATTTTAAAAAGATTAATAAAAGGCTATCATTTATACCCTAAAGTGTTCCATAATAGTGCTGTTGTGGCAGCATAAATATTAATGGGTGTTGAAGTTAGAAGAGAAAACTCAACTATTTAAGTTATCGTGAATACCAAAAACAGAATCTGTAAAAGTGAAAAAAGAGAAAATAGCATCTAACTGAACATTCAGAAACCCTGGCACACCTTTATTCATATACATAGGAACAGACTTTTAAAAACTTTTCATAAGGGACCAAACAAAGAAACCTTTTGGTCTCAGTTGCAGACAAAGATCCACTTCCACTGAAGTCTGGTTATTAAAGTTGAGGTATGATAAGGGGGGTGGCATGATGGCTTGGTTAGCTAATCCTCCACCTGCAAGTATTGGCATCCCATATGGGTGCCAGTTTGTTTATCAGATGCTCCACTTTCACCCAGCTCCCTGGCTGTGGCCTGGGAAAGTAGCAGAGGATGGCCCAAGCCCTTGGGACCCTGCACTTGTGTTGAAGAATATGGAGGAGGATCCTGGCTCCTGGCTTCAGATTTATAAATCTGCCTTTCCAGTAAAAATAAAAAGTTGAATTATGGTGCTAATAAGAAAAGGGTCTTCCACTTCTTAAATGGTTACTACCTTTGATCCTTTTTTCCCCTTAGGAAGGCCCATGAACTCCAGTTCTCCAGTAGATGGTGGTGGTCCTGCAGGTCCTGGGGGGCCAACATCCCCCTGCAAAATAAAAGGAGACATTAAGCAATGCGTAAATCACATAGATTACTTTCCCAAGGGTGAGCTTGTTTTTTGGATGCAGCTTATAAGTAAACTGCCTTTTCATCTTTGTATTAATGAGGGAACAAAACTTTCATTGTCAGGGGCTGAGAAGAATTATAAGCCTGACTAAATGCATTTTGTACCAGCACTACAGAAAGAAAAAGCAAAATGGATGAAAGGAAACCACAAGTTGATGGTTTCCATGGTCATGCACAAAAGGGTTTTTAGAAGAGGGCTGTAGAGGATTTTGGGCAAGGTGAATGGCAATAACTTGACAACAACTCTGATGGTCTAATCATCATTAAGAGCACAAGCAGAGTCAATAAATTGCGTGTTGGACTATTGGAAGCTGGAGTTCTTTCTACAGAAAGTAATGCAACCCATGAGACAGCCAGGAAATGTGGGGAGGGCAAATCCCAAACCTCTAGAAAATTTGTATAGAAGAAAAGGATTAAGAAACAAACAAACAAACAAACAAAAAGATACAGAGGCAATAGATAAAGAATGACAGAGAGAAAGGAGGAAGAGGATGAAAAGAAAGCAGAAAGCAGAGGAAAGGTGACAAAACGCACAAAATACCAATATTCCCAGTTAGAAAGAAGAGAAGGACTATATTTAAAGAGAATATCTTTGCTAAGACATACACATTTCACAGGCAGGCGGCCAGGAGATGCCTATCTTCAGAAGGAAAGAGAATTGCAAAAGCCAATGTACAGCAAGCTGGTGCACATGCAACTCTCAAGGGATCCACCAGTGGATCTATGTCACTGGGGAATACTCATTTCTCAAAGGGAAGAAAGAAATCCTTCCTCAAGCAGGCACATGGGAACCACAAGAGATGGTTACTGGAGCAAGTTGATAATAGTTTCCAAAATCTGTTTACCTTGGCTCCTTTCTCTCCTTGGAAACCTAACCCCATATTCCCCTGGGGCACAGGAGCACAGGGAAGAAAAAACAAAATCAATTACTAAACATACTTTAGGAAAATAAATTGGAATGCAGGATTTTTTTTTTAATGCAGAAACTGATTTTAACCAAACCAGTACATAGTATATCTCTATGAAATCAGAATATGTAGTGGTAGGAGGTCAAATGCCTCCAAGACAAAGTATACTTACTTCAGGGCCTGGGAGACCAGGGGGTCCTGGGGGACCCTAGATGCAAAGAAAAGGAAAAAAAAAAACAGAAAAAATGTCAACAACTGTTAGTTTTAGTCAAAAAAGATTGTAACCTTGGGACAGGTATTAGCACCCTCTCTCAAGATTTCCTTTTATATCCCTTTGGAAATCTCATCAATTGAGGGGTAAACCCATTCATGCTAAGGTAGTGAAGACTTCACATGTTGTTTCTACCAATAAGAGACCGATTTTTTTTATTTCATTTTGTGTCAGTTTCATAGGCTCTGGGATTCCCCCAATCCCTCCCCATGCCCTTCCCCCATGTTGGATTCCTCCACATTGTTGCAGTAGTACAGTTCAGACAGAGACCAATAAGGAAAGCTTAGAACAGACAGGAAAAAGTCAGCTTGGACTCACATATACCTTACTAGGTAGGACACAAAGATTAGTTACTCCTCACTAAGATATTGAAGATTTCTCTGCACACCCCTCCTAGAATTGTTCTGCCCCTTAATTGTTAACATATGTCATGTTAGAGTTATAAGCCTGTTTGGACTATCCTAAATTCACCACGTTCAGTAAAAATCATGCATCAATATTATAAACTGCTAAATACTAGAATGAAAATAGACACGAGACAGCTGACTAGTACCCTATAGCCATTTTAAGGTGTAGAGAGACCAATTTTTAAATGATGATCTTTGGTGAAGTTAAACTTAAGTAATAAATGATGGGAATTCAATTACTAAACGAGCAGGCTATGGAAGGCACTTTTCCAGAACCACCCAGACACCAGGCTATACATTTCCTGTGTCATTGATGGTAAGTAAGTTTGGTAAGAAAGGTGGGTAAATAGGTAGAGCAGCTAAAACTGCAGTCTTAGAAGGATTCTAAGGTTAAACTCAGTCTTCAGGGTAGCTGATGGGTGTGATGGCATAATTACTTGGCTATCACTGTCATGGAGAGGAAGAAGGTGATGGCAATAGACGTGTTGCAGGTATCTCCAGTCTATTCTTCAGGTTAAGCTAGACTAGAGGCGTTCGAGGCATCAGAAAGACTCTGTCAAATGAAGACAATTAATAGTTCCTAGTAAGAATGTGATTCATTTTAATCCTCAAGAATGGAGGTTGCCGTCCTTCACTTGGGGTACCTATACTATATAGGCTTACATTACATCCACGGAAAGGTGGAAAGATAGCTATGCGAACACTGTGGTCCTACACTGGATTTCAGTTGGTCTTACTTGCAATCCTGGTGGTCCCATGGGTCCTGCAGGTCCAGGTGATCCAGATGCTCCTTGTGGGCCCTGGAGACACAAGTTTGTATTGAAGTTCAAAGAGCAAGACAGTTACATAGGGAAAAGGAAAAATATGTATGTGCAGAAGAGCTGTTCAAGAATGTTTTCACAATTTTTTTTTTTTCCTATCAGTTACGACCTGGAAACATTCCAGGTGTCCCTTGCTGCAAGGATTGAGACATAAACCATGATACATTCAGTTGGTGCAATAAATACCTAAAAGCAGCAAGTTACAGACAACGGAAACGATGTGGCTGAATGTCAAAAGCATTGTGTTTAAAAAGCCAAAAAGAAAAAAAAAACAACAACAAGCCAATAGATCACATATTATATTGTTCCCTTGATAGGACATCCTAGAACAGGCAAAACCTTATCTGTGATGGCAAAAGTCAGAATGGTTGTGGCCTTTAAGGCAGGATTTGACTGGGAGGGAACTATCTGCAAAGTGAAGTAGCTTATATATCACACTTCTCTATGTAGGGAAATATTGCCCCTTTGTGAGAGGAGAATGGGTCCCTGACAGAAGCTGTGCAGCAAATATAGTGGGTATTATTCTACAAATTTAATAAGCACACCATCTAATCCAATTTCACTGAGCTCTAGGGCCCGAGTGTGGTCTTGCTCCCTACTCATCTTTGCTTTCCTGAATGCTTCAACACATCCTGTTTCCTGTCCGCTTTTTCTCACACTACTCTCTCTATTTAGAAAGCCTCCTCCCACTACCAGCTGGTCCAAAACACTACCCGCTTTTCTCAGAAGGTGCATGCTTAGACATAAAGTCTTTGCAGATACATGCTTAGGTGAGCACCATTTTTTTTTTAATTCTAGGTGGTTGTGGGATTCTTAAGCCATATTCCTGCTATTTTTTTTTTCTTTTTCACATCCATGGGGGACAGAGTTGGTGTCTACATTGCCTCAGTCATCATTCATGGCACTTAGTTGGTAGTACATGCTCAATATCTGTTAGAGACTGAACAATGAAAGGAAAAAGAAGAGGGGAGAGGATTATAAACAGGAAAGAAATCAAGGAATTTTCTTAAGCTACATTAAAGGAAAGTGATCACATAAAAATATTTTTTTAGTCTTATTTGAGAGGGAAACATACAGAGAGAAGGAGACAGAAGGAGAAAGATCTCCCAACCACAACAGCTGGAACTGAGCCAATCTGAACCCAGGAGCCAGGTGCCAGGAGCAACTTCTGAGTCTCCTACATGAGTGCAGGGGCCCAAGCACTTGAGCCATCCTCTGCTGCTTTCCCAGGCCATAAGCATGGAGTTGTATGAGAAGTGTAATAGCTGGGACTTGAAACAGAACCCATGGGATGCTGGCACTGTAGGAACAGGCTTAGTCTAGTATGCCATTGTGCCAGACCTCGAAAGTTCTTATTAACACAGCTCCTGACTTTTCCATATTATTAGAGTCTCCAACAGGAATTTTTGTATGGACTATATCAAAGTGGACTCAATTTCTTCTTTGTTTTTAATTTTTTTCATTGTATGAGGAAGGGAGGGAAGGAAAGGTGGGGGAGAAAGCCGTGAGAGTAAGCAAGAGAGAAAACTTCCATCCACCAGCTCACTTCTCAAATGCCCATAAAAGCCAGGGCTGGGCTGTGAAAAAGTCAGGAGCACAAAACTCTATCCTGGTCTGTCTCATAGGCGACAAGCACCCAAGTACTTGAGCAGTGTGTGCATTAGCAGAAAGGTGGATTGGAAGTGGAGTAGCTGGGACTTGAATCATGCACCTGCATATGGGATGTGAGCATCCCAAGCTATGGCTTAATTGCTGAGCCAAACTCCAGTCCCTACTTTTTTCATTTTACTTACACTACTGAGCACAAAAGGCAAAACACTTAACACATCCAAGGGAATATGGAATATAGCAGTCCTCCCTAATCCAGTTTTTCTTTTCAGAGATTCAGTCACTTGTGGTCAACCAAGATTCAGAATCTTCAATGGAAAATTTCAAAAACAACTTACAATTTTACATTGTATAGCATTCTCAGTGGTGTGATGAGATTTACACCATTCCTACCCGGGATGTAAATCATCCCTTTGTACAGAGTATCTATCCTGTATGTGCTATCCTTCCATTACTCACTTAGTCATCATCATGGTTAGCTGACTAGCCATCATTGTAATGGCAAATGCTTGTGTGCAAATAACCCTTGCATATTAGCCACATGCTTTGTCATACTGCATGTATTAGTTTTTCATCCCATCAAATAGTCTTATATCATCTCAAGAATGGTGAGTACAACATACAAAGAAATTTTTAGAAAGATCATAATTACATGATTTTTATTATTGTATAGTACAATAAGTGTATTTGATTATAAATTATTATTAATTTTCCACTTGCATAATTTATAAATTAGATTTTATCATAAGCATGGATATAAAATGTTATGTCTGTATATGTTACTCTGTAGTTTTGGACATTTATTGAAAGTCTTGGAATGTATTCCTCAGAAATAAGGGGAGAAACTGCTGTATGTAAGTCCCTGGCTGAAAGGACAACTTAAGGCAGATGGTTCAATCTCTCAGTACCTTCTCATTTGGAATAAAAGCAATAGTGCAATCTGTTTTACCTCAGCTCTAGGCTTCCCTTGAAAACATATGCAAGGTCCTCAGAACACCACAGAGAAAAATGGAAAAGCACCATCAGTGACTGTTGACTAAACATTGAGTGCTCAACAAATAAATACCAACTTACGGTGATTCCATCCAGTCCAGGTAATCCAGGATTTCCCTGAGAAATAGACAAAGGCAAGACACTAAAAAGATGAATAAATTAAGCACACAGTATTTCAGACAACTAATTTAAGATTCAGGGGGATAAAAATGCATGAATTGGACAAATCCAGTAATTTATTTATTTATTTATTTATTGCTAGGAAAAGTCTGGCTTCTAGAAGACAGGTATTATAGCCTTGGCTGAACAGGATTTCATACTTGGATTAATTAATTTCACCTTTGCTGGGAACTTATCAATTAGAAGCTCCTTCTGCAAGCTGGCATTTTTCTTGCTCTTTTAGAGGAAAGCCCAGCTACCTTCCTGTATGCCTTCATCCCCAGAGAATTTGTGCCCATATGTATACAATGCAAATCCGACATTTCAAGGAAAAACCAACAGAGCATACAATCTCTGATTATGTTTTAATTACATTGCGGCATCTCAAGTCACTGTGTGAATCTGGAATATAACCGACTTGTGGGAATTGTCATGTTCCACTGGATTCAGTGTCTCCTTCATTTTTTTTGGCAAAACCATTTAATCAGTGTTTGCTAAGGCAATGCCTATGCTTTGACATCTGCTAGTCTTACCGTACATGGCTTAGCAGTGAATAATCAGTGAATCTCTGTAGCACAGAAGGAGCACTGGCTAGGATTTAACTCTTCGGTAAACTGGTTGTGTGACACTGAGCAAGTCACATTGCCTCAATATATCTCAGATTTTCTATTTGCAACGTGAGCAATAGCAATCCAGCAGTCACGAGGACCTTTCCAACTCTTGCAATTTGCTGCTGTAACACCTACAGTCAAAATCCTAAGTCTTGGAGCTTCTCCAGTCTTCCAGTCCCCCACCCTCATTACTGCCTTTCACAGTGATTTTCAGTGTCTCTTGACTCTGTGCACTAAATGGAAGACAGGAAAACGGTATCAATTAACTGAGTGAGTTTGGTGCATCTTCCCTTCAGATGTTGAGCATGTAGACTCCCATTTGTTATGGGGACAGTGATGGTCTTGCTCTCCACTCTTCAAGGGAATAGAGTCAGCTGCTTGGAACCAGAGTTTACTGAGGCCCCACAGAATATCAGGCAGCATCCATCAAGAATGCAGTCACAAGAAAACAGAAGGTTCTTGTCAAGAGACAAAAATTTCCAACCAGCTGTAGAGCTGATGGGCATGTTTTGCAGACATCCAGTGGCTCAGGGAGAGAGAAAAGATCCTGGGCTGATGGCCATGCTGAGATGGGAAGAGATGTATATGGCTTCAAATCAAAGTATATAGAAAGCAAGGAATCTAGAGTAGACAAACTACCAGGAAATGTCATGACTTGTCAAAGAAAATGATAGTCTGCAAACTGTTTGCTGATCTGTCTCTTATTTTTGGTCTAGATCCTACAAAGAATATCTTTTTGACAATATGGTTGCAAACATTTCTGTTAATGTTTCTATCATGGAAAGCTCCAGAGCTTTCTAAATTCAGCATGATCTGCACCTTAGAGACACAGATGCTAGCTCTGGAAAACTTTTCATTGGAGGTGAGGTTCTATCTATGGGATCCCAGCTTATAGCCTTCTCAGTTCTCTACCTTAGAGTTTCTTACCTTCATTCCTTTGAAACTACCTGGATCAACAGCAGATTCACCCTTGGATCCTTTCTGACCAGGGAGTCCCTATGTAAAAATAAGAGACACTTGTTAAGAAATGTGTGTGCACGTGCAGACATACACACACAGGTATGTCAACAGTGTGATCCAATATGATGCAATCAGAAAGAGGATGGACTAGTAACAGCTCAAAATTAAGTCAACATTCTAGGACAGGCCAGGTTGCACTAATGGACAATCATATCAACTGAACAGGTGCTGGATCTCAAAGTTGTGCATCCATTCCCTTACCCCTAAGTCAGAGGTCTACACAAGGGTGGTGGTTACAAAGTAGAAAACTGCACAACTATTCACGGCACTGATCTGAACAATCATATAGCATTCATAAGCTCCACTCCTCATAGGTGGAAGTCACTGACAAGTCCTTTGTCTAGGCGAAGCTGAACAAATTGTTCTATGGAGGGCCAGGTATTTAGTAATGTAGGCTTTGGGGTAACAGTTGGGCTTTGCTTTCTTCCCTTCTCTCCCCACTCTTCCTTTCCTTCCTCTCCTTCCCCTTCCCTTCTCTCTGCCTATTCCCTCCCCTCCCTTACCTTCTCTTCTTTCCTTTCCTTTTTTAAAATACTTACAAAAATGTTAAAGTAGACTACAGGCTAAGGACCATGGAGGCTAGTCTGCAGACCTTACTCCAAGATACATCTACAAAATTACTTTGATTTTGTACTTCTACTACACAACTTTCAGCTTCAACACTTGTCTAAGGGGATTGTGTGTCTCTTTGTTAACAGGGAAAACAATTAGAAGTACCCAAGACTAGTTTTGGAAACAGATATTTTGCTGTCACAATGGAAATGTTGCCTAATAGTTAAGTGCTTGTCCTTCTGAGGAAAATCTGTGTCTTCACACCTTTGGAGAAGTCAATGTTAGTATTGGAGTGGGCTACACTTCATGGACTGAAACATTGAGCAAATGATGGAGAACAACTTGGTTCCAGAAACACAACCCACTTTCTTTCTCATACTGCCCATTTGTCTTTATTTTCATAGCCACTATTCCTTTCAAAGAAAGCTTTGAATAAATTAAAATACTGCACTGTGACCCATTAAAGTGTATGTGTATTATATATGAATTATTTCTTAAAAAGTAAAACTATATTAATAATCAAATTATATACAAAGGAAGCCTACAGAATGGAGATCTATTAGGTGTTTTTAGGGGCTATGATTCTATTTAGTGTAATATACATTCAAGTTACTATCTAGGTCGTGGGTCAGGTTTAGTGGCAGCATTAATTTTCCACCCTTAATGTTTGTCAAATAATGTAATTACCTTAAGAGGGTAGTGATCTCTTCCTTCCATGGCTTCCCATCTTAACACTGTGTTCTCTTGTATACTCCTGTTACCATGGCAGTAGTAGGAAGCCTTAGCCACTCTTGTGCATTCTGTTTCAGGAACACATATTTCTTTACCCCTCCCCCTCACACACACACTCCTGCTACATATTGATACAGTCATTTAATATCAAGGTCCTTCATGACAACCCTAAGTGTGTCTGTTACACTTTCTTCACATCCACCTATATCCATAACTTCATCATTGATGACAATGTGCCATTCTTTCAGGGAAGTGCTGATCAATTCATGTAACTATGAAATGTATGTGAGGTTTAGAATGGGCTTGAAATATGTTATACCTCTGTAGTCACTTGTAAAATCCAGTGCCTAAAAACTGTGTCACATAATGCAATGTAATTTAAAAAATCAGCCTTGTGTGGATATATTATCTACCAGAGGTCCTGTAGATTCAAATATCTGAGTCTTATGTTGATGAATGGAATTGAATAATAGTGATGACTTTGGATCTACTAAATAAATATCCTATGAGTCACATAACCATGAGTCGTGGATGTAAGATATCAGTGCAGAGTAGGGTCTTCAATCTCAGCACTACTGACATTGTAAGTCAAACGATTTTTTTGGATTTTTTTTAAGAGGAGGGCATTGTCCTGTGCCAGTAGCATACTATCAGTTGCAGCTCTCAAAATTATCAATAACAATTGCCACAATGTCCCCTGAGGGACAAGATCACCTTTGGTTTAAAACTGCAGTTATAGGTCAATTTTGCCAAACACTTTGATGACTTATTAGTGCTCCCATGATCCCATGTAAGCTTTCTAAGAATTTCCTGATATTGTCTGATGTAAGAAGATGTCCAATAGCCCAAGTATACATTTTGCTTTGCAATTTACTACATCCTTTTTAATGATCATGCCAACACCAAGAGCAGCATTAGAAATAATGATGACAAGAAACCTAGGTAATGTAGCGTGTGTACCCACCCCTCTGCAACTGGTATTCTTTAGATGTTATTGTTGTGGTATTGCCAGCATGGACTCATGCATTGCAAATGGAGCTGCAGGGGCTGCCCCACTGAAGCTTAATGAGGTTTCCAGAAGCAACAGTAAAGAGGCACAACTGGAGGAAAGATATTTAAAATAAAGAGCAAAGAGCCGACAGCATACAGGTTGTCCGTGAAGCCCAGGAAAGCCATCAGGGCCTGGAATTCCGACAGCTCCTTGAGTTCCATTACAGCCATCCAGGCCAGGAGGACCTCTGGGGCCTGGTTGTCCAGGGTGGCCCTGTTAAAAAAGAAAAGGAGAGATCAAGTCATCCACCGGACTTAGAGCCACTCTGAAAGCTCCACAATGAGAAAGGCCAAATATGCTGTTAATCTTTGACTCCTTGCCCACTAGCTTAACCCTATCATGTACATTTTCATATATTTCCTTTTACTCAGGTGTATATGTCCAACTACAGCTCTCCTAAAAAGACTGATGCTTTAATAAGATACTGGATGAAACAAAAGGGCTCAAATGTGAAATGATGGGACACAGGGATACACAGGGGCATGCAGCGTCACCTGAATAAAAACAAAAAACAGACAAACAAAACAAGACAGAACAACAAAAAACAAAACTGGGGTTTAGCTGTCTGGTGGCTGACCTGCTAACAACAGGGAACCACGCCAGCCCTTGGGATTTCTCAGGCCAAAAGAACTGGGGCAGCCTGGTAGGTCATGCTTTATTGGAAACTCTAGCTAGGCAGTGATGTTGGATTTTGCTCAACGAAGCAGAGGCAGTTGTTATTGCACCTTGTCTCATTAAAGCTGCTTGCTCTGGAATAAGTCCTGCAAGAAGCACACTTTCAATCTGTTTTAATCCTGGTCACAAGACAGGCTGCTGCTTAGGTAAGAGAACTGTATCTTCTTTTTTCCATGTTTTTGGTATGGCAAATTAGTCATCATTCTTAGTATGTCTCAGTTTAATCATGTTCTCAAGTTGGGCTTTCTCACTACATGGAATTATTTAAGGTTTTTTAAAATTTATTTAAGGTAAGTAAGTAAGGTTAAAATTAAGTGATATTAAACTTATGAAGTAGATGCTTAATGAACAGTGAGTCTATTCTCAGAGAAGTCAAAGAGTATAAGTCACTGGACTGATTTTAACTCCTCTCATTCTCAGTATTTTCCCCTTCTGGGTACAGGTGGTTATTATATAAATGTTGGGTATAAGAGATCCTATAGATATAAGGAGCCACAAAGGACTGAATGTACAGACTAGGATGATCTGTTATATTCCAGAAAAGCAGTATTCGTCAGAACCCAGTGTGGAAAGAGGAAATTTCCATGTGGTGAGGGCATAAGCTCACTTTGACAATATAAATCCAGTATACTCATTTGTAAGTCTCTAGCCATGGAAATGTTTTGAGATTGACTCCTTAGGAAAAACTAAACACAGATGGCAAAGGGCAACTTGAAAATATCTACTTGCAACTATTGGAGCTGAAAACATTTGATAAACACATATTCCTTGTGAAAATATTTGATAAACATACGTTCCTTGTGAAAACATTTGATAAACATACCGATTCTTGTGGATGCCAACAGCTTCAATTCATGGCTGGAAAAATCGTTTATAAAGGCATAGTACTCCATACCTAGTCTGTCTGGTTATAATGCTAACTATATTGATGAATGCACATTGTTCACTCTCTCAACTGGTTGTTATGTCCTTCAGTGCAAAGACTTGAATTGTTATGAAACAACTACTTAGCCACTCACATTGAAATTATCTACATGGAAACAAAAAAAGAACCCTGGGACCTAAATCCATGACACATATGTTAATGATTAGCCAATATTGAGAGGGGAACTAAAAGTTGTAGTGTAGTGTTACAGTTTCATTAACTGGGTTGGACAGGCTGTTTGTTTTAGCCAAATTTCCCAATAGAAGGTGTTTGAAGTTGAGCAAAATAATTGGTCTAACTGGATTTATGGTGTCTGAGTTTTCCTGTCAGAGGGATTCCTGCCAGTCTGAGACTTGCATTTATAGGCACTAGAAGTCAGAGTCAACCCTAAACATTTTTAGAGTTCCTATTAGAAATTAAACTCAGTTCTGCACCTCTTGGTCCTCTGGGATGAACAACAGACATAATCTGTGCTTTCAAGGAGCTAAATGAGCCTATCATGTCTGATAACCAACCAACACCATGGGCTGGATGCAGCAAAGAGCCAGAGTATGTGGGGCAGACATCAGACACTCCTGAAATATTTAAGATGGAAAGAAGGGGTAAATATTGAACAGGAGATATTCATACTCATTAAATAGTTGGAAGAGAGGCCTAGCACAAAACAGAAGCATCTTATGGAATGATGAAGATTGGATCTTCAAGCCACAGCAGTAAAAAAAGATGTTACATTTGGTCAAAGTTAAGAACCAAAAGAATGAGGACAGCTTCTGGGAGCAGCAATCCTGGAGTCTGCACAATTGTAAGACAATCTTCCAAGTAATGAAGCCTTACACAAAAGTGACTAAGTCCTGCGACTTCTTGGGCTTTCTTAGCTACAAGCCAGAGGCAGAAATTTCCAGATGAGTTTGGAGGTAACTTCCAGATCTGAATTGGAAGTGGCCTTAGCCTCATAGCATTCACTTTCTCCAAGTTCCCATTGGAAAGATAGTAGGAAGAAGGGCATGCTAACAATACAAAATTTAAGTGCCCCACTCATCTTTGCAAAAGCCAAGTCATTGGGTGATTGGGAGAATCTGTCTTTAGTTTGTTAACTTCCTTCATCCTCTAGCTTCCATAATTCACATACTGTGAGTAGAAACTCTGGCTAGTGGCTGTAGTGAGACACAGCCACTTGAAGGCATCAAAAGACATCATAAAAGGAAGGCCAACTCCATCTATTTCTTTCCTCACTGACTTATGGCTGGGCATTTTGCAGTAACCTGCTAGCTGACTCCATACATATAACAAATACAAGGTGAATGAATCTTCTGTTCTCAAAATACTCAAATGCTGACCTAAAATGGGAAGAAAATGGATCAGATGATAACATGGTTGAGGGTAGAGCCATTTGCTTCCTGTATATACCAATAATAGAGCACTAGAACACAGCAGGTGCTCAAAAAATGACAATAGATGATCACAACATAGCCCAGCACTGGGGCATAGCAGGTAAAACCTGCCTTGCCAATATTCTATACGGGCACCAGTTCATGTCCTGGGTGTGCCACTTCTGGTTCAGCTCCCTACCATTGACCTGGAAAAAGTATTGGAAAATGACTCCTGTCATTTGAATGAGAGATTTGGATGAAGCTCTCATCTCCTGGCTTTAGTGTGGCCCAGCTCTGGCGATTATGGCCATCTGAGGAATAAATTCATAGATAGAAGATTTTTCTCTCTCCCTCTATAACTTGTTCAGACAAATTAAAAATCTTTTTTAAAAAAGGATAACATACAAAAATTTCAATCTCATTCCTTGACATGAGATGATTACCTATCATAACACAAGAAATTGTCAAGTCAGGCTCCCCATATCGTAGCTCCTCTCTCAGAGGAGCTACACTTCTTTTTTGTCTCATGTGCTGAGCTTCTACACAAGCTTCTGTTCTTGACAATGAATGCTCTAGAGGCAAATATCGCTCAAGTTAAGGATTAAATACATAGAGACATGGCAAAGATCGCAATCCAAAGTGATCACCTGTGAGTTCCAATTTCAGTATTTTGAAGGCTGGTTTGATTTTTAGTCTAGAATCTCCATTGGTAGGCTTAGTGGAGATACAGGCACAAATGGGGAGTTAAGTAGTTTGGAAATATGCAACAGAAGAAAGGAGATGAGCAGAGGTATGCGGGATGAATGGACGAGGTTGCCTCCAAGTGATTTTTGAAGTAGCTGCTTTGTAAAAATTAAGGAGAAATTCAGTCTGAATTTCTGAAGGCGGAAGAGAACAATTGTTGCAATGAAATATGTTAAGGTATCACAATTTTTCTATCTAATTTCATGCACTTTCTTGATCTTTCCATAATTAGCAAAGATGTGTGCTCTAACGCAGCTGTGTCTCTTTTCCAAAGAACCAGGCCTTCATTTCCAACCCAGGTTTCCTTAAGCCCACAAAACCTCAATCATGTAGGCTATTATATATAATATAATATATAGTACATATATATAATATAGTTACATATTATTTAATTATAAAATATTAATATATTATACAATATATCACATATTAATTGGTATTAATACATAATATTAATACATTGATATATATTAAGTAGTATTAATCTATAATACTAATATATGATATTAATATATATGAATGGCTGCACCTATTCCTTCACTACCCAACCATTTCATTTAGGACTGCCCACGTGTGAACCCTGCCCTTCAAACCTCTCACCCACTCGATCCCAAGCATGCTAACAAGAGAGTAGATGGGTCTAAGGCCAACATGTGTGAGTCAATGACGCAAAACGTAGTCTGTGATATTACAAAAGCTCCTGTGGACACACTCACCGGAATCCCATTGATGCCAAGGAAACCAGGAACTCCCATGGGACCCTAGAGAATGGAGTAGGGAGAAGAAAGTGAGAGGCAATCGAACTGATGCCTGTCCACTGGACAGGCTTGTTGATGTGATTCAGGTGCTTTTTTTTAACCTCCTTTTTCACACTGAATGATGCCACTTTAAAAAGCTTATAGAAAGTGGAAGTGTACAGCCTCTATGGAAATCAGTATGGAAAACAAACAACTGAAAATGTTCATATCATATGATCCAGCAATAGCACTCCTAGGAATATATCCAAAACACCTGTTACATGAGACACTAACATGCACCCCTATGTTCATAGCAGCACAATCAATAATTGCAAAGACATGGAAGCAACCGAAATGCCCATCAACAGAAGCCTGGATAAGAAAACTATGGTTCATCTACTCCATGGAATACTACTCAGCTAGTTAAACAAAAAACAAAAAACAAAAACCAAAATGCATTTCTTTGTGGCCAAATAGACCCAATTGGAAACCATTGTGTCAATGGAAATGAGCCAATCCCAAAAGGCTAGATACCACGTGTTTGCCTTAATTTAAGACGAAATGATGTCAATCCGAAAAGTAATACCTGTAAATTGTAATATTTTTTACACCCTCAAACATTCTGTATCATTGCATGTGAAATACTGTGAAGTAGTCAATGAACCAATAATCAATGAGAGACAGACTGCTTATGATCTACATCAAGGAACTGGAAACACTGATATGTTTTAAATACCCTATGTTATTCTGCTATGGGTCAGGAGAGCAGAGAAATCTTCCACCTTCTTAGAGTGTGTGAGGAAGATGTTAAGTATAAACTATCAAGATTGTAATAGGTAGCTTACAGACAGCAGACTCGAATCTGCATTAGACATTAGCAAAAACTATAAAGACATACAGTGGGATCCAAGAACGATCCTGACAGCCTCTTAACAGGAGGTCATATGCACAGAGCAGGAGGGGACCCCAGAGTGGAACAGGAGGACAGAGGAGGCTTGTATCCTAAACCCCAGAGATTCTCGGTACCTCACCAAAGACTATATCCCAACTGCCAAGGAGATCACAAGGAATTGGAGTGCCCTCATAGGCAGAGAACTCTGAGGTCATCCAATCCCTATTGGATCTCCCACATGGGATGGAAGAAGCCCAGATCCTTCCTCACAGGATCTAATGTCATTTGAACAACAGCAAGGAGCCCTGAGCAGTTCTCAGAAACAGAAGAACAGTAAACTTCCTTTGGGACTCAAGAGAGGAGTTTTCTCTGGTCCTTACTTAGTTCCAACTTTGGCTCCCCACCCTCTCTTGCAATGACTATCATGGTTGCTCCTGTTCCCCCAAATTAGATCAGCTAGAGACCAATAAGGAAAGCTTAGAACAGACAGGAAAAAGTCAGCTTGGACTCACATATACCTTACTAAGTAGGACGCAAAGATCAGTTACTCCTCATTAAGGTATTGAAGATTTCTCTGCACACCCCTCCTAGAATTGTTCTGCCCCTTAATTGTTAACATATGTCATGTTAGAGTTATAAGCCTGTTTGGGCTATCCTAAAATTCGCGAAGCTCATTAAAAATCACGCTTAAAAAAATGGTTTGAAATCCATGCATGGTTTCTTCATAATATATACACTTTTCATAAATAGTTTGAAAAGTCCACATATTTCCTTGGATATATCTGTGTTCTGGGACCAACTGCTGTGTTAGGTAGTATACACCAAAGCATAGCAAACATCAAGGGTCACTGATGCACACTGCCTTGGAAAAGCTGCGAGGGCCTTGAATAAACTAAACAACAAATTCACCTTCCTATTGTGCTCCTGGACAAGCTCTTCCCCCACCCCCAACACCCTGCCAGCCAAACAACCCTCCCTTATCAAGCACAGTTTGTATGGTTCATGCTTATGCCCAAGTGGTGGCTTCAGTTCCTTGTCACCTGCTGAGTTATTCCAACAAGCAAATCACAGCCTCTGACAGGAATTACAGCACCCATCCTCTTGATCCTGCAAAATTCTGCCTCCCATAGTCACTTCCAGTTCACTCTCTGAGTGTAATCCCTGTGTGGTCCTATGTGGTATGCAATGTTCCCCAGCTGTGCATACGCTAGTGTATGTGTCTGATAAGTGCTGTGGAGCACATCTGCCCAGGGTGCCACGTTTTTGGCCGTTCACATAATCCTAATGTGGAAATCCCTTCATTGCCAACAGGGTGAATAGCAGGTGATTAAAGAAAGCAGAGAACATAAAGCAATCTGGCTAAATTCAGCCAGCCACCTCGATAGATTCTCTCTCTCTCTCTCTCTCTCTCTCTTTCTCTCTTTCTCACTCTCTCTTTTGGCTAATACACTATATTTGTGGCCCGAGTTGCTTGCAAGCTTTCTGACCCCTTGTTTTCCAGTCTCTGCTTGGATTCCCAGTCTTCCATGTTCAGCTAATTGGAACTTTTAACTTTTGCCCAGTTTAAACACATATGATTTCCCCTCACAGCTAACACTTTACTTTGTGACCTGCTTGTTATGGGAAACCTTTCCAGAAATGGTCTGGTCTCCATCAGCAGCACATCACCCATTCTGTTCTTATTCAAGCATGTAGCCTGGCACCAAAGTTATCCTGGAATAGCACTGTTTCCATAAATGAGCAGAAATGAGGCAGAAAACTTCTGACCTTCAGACTTGTGACTCAGGCTTCCAAGTGGTTTCATGCTCTTACCTTATCTCCTGCAGGTCCGTGTGGTCCCAGAGTGCCTGGCGAGCCTCTTTCTCCTTTCAGCCCTGATAAACCAGAAGGGCCAGGGAATCCTTGAGGACCTGTTGGACCTTGACTTCCAATTGGTCCAGGTCGCCCCTAAGATGGACAGAGGGAGGCAATTAGTCAATAAAAGTCTCAAAATGACCGCTTCCCATTTTATCATGCACAAAGAACACTGTCACCACTTCACTAAATAATCTTGGCATGGAGATCTGTGAGGCATGCCAAAGTTCCAGACGTGTATCAGAAAGGGCTATTTTTGAGGCTGCTAAGCTTATTTGGACAGAACACATTTTATAAGCACATTTAATAAGATTCATGTGCACCAACTTTGTACTTCTTAGGAGATTAGTTATTCAGGCTGGACAACACTGTCCTCTTCCGAGTTAATGCCAGGCCATCCATCAGATTGTCAAAATAGTATAAGAACAGAACACTGGAGAGCATCGTGGCATTTTATAACTCACATCCAAATGGCCAACCACACGCTGGCAGTGAAGACGAGGAATGGCTGTGCCTAAAGAGCACCGCCACAGGGGGCCGGGGAAAAGAGCATCCAAGCCGTGAACTGGTCCATCTCTCTGAGCTCAGCTTCGCCACTGCACTTGGAAACGATCACGCACAGGACACACGCACAGACGCGCGCGCGCACACACACACACACACACACACACACACACACACTGTGTCCTGCCAACCTCCAGTGTTGAACTTGCAAAATACAGGGAGCCTGAGAATATCTATTACGAATCAATTAGGATAGCAAGAGGGAACAGCCTGAGGATTTTGAATGCCTTGATTATAAAATGTCTTTAACAATTAAGTTGGAGAGTTCAGGCTGACATTTGAAAAGCTGACTGTGCCTGAGAATTAACCCCAGTTGGTGCGACAGAGGCAGGCTGGACTATCATTTAGAACAAATCTCAGTAGGGACTGAATTTTCCTGGCAGAAAAGTGAAAACCATTAGCGATGTGCATTGCTCTCGGAGAACACACGCCCATAGCACCTATTTTCATAAATGCTTGCCATCTTTGCCTCTCAGCCTCTTGTACTAACTGTACACAATTTCCCACAAATCTACAAAAAAAAAAAAACCACCTTTGAGAACAGCCCATTAAAGATGCCCTTTACTGCTCACCTGTGAGGTTTACTTTCTTTAAAGATTGAAAACAGGACAGATGATTTCTGGGGTGCCTAGAATCACATCCTGGAGATGAAAGTGGCCACCAGCTGTGGGTAATTTCTGGTGTCAGTCAGGCCCAGGGAGACCAAGGACCCTCAGGGGCTGCACTTCTCAGGGCTACCGACCATCATTCAACCTTTCTCGGTACCTATCCTGCAGCCTGCAAGGGTGCTACTCTATAAGCTGCCTAGTCAGCTGCCCTCCCAGAGTGATGTGGGGAGGGCTGAGCCATGGCCCACCTCACACTAAGAGACCTACTTCACCTTGGGGGCATTTTTGCAGGCAAAGAATCTATTCTTGATTTTTCTTGTAATTCTCACAAGGTCAATAAAAGCGTGTGTGTGTGTGTGTACACATATGAGGGTAATTCTAAAGGTCATGGAAGTTTTAATTAAAAGATGTTTATATTGCTGCAAACTAAAATCCATGTATAATTTACTCCCATATTGTGCATTTCCATAAACTTTTTGAATATCTTTCATGTATAATACACAAGGAGTCTTCAACAGGTTCATGTAAAAATTCCCATTTTATCCTTTTTCAAAAGATTTACTTATTTAAAAATCAGAGCCACAGGGTGTGGGGGTGGGACGGGGTGAGGCAAAGAGACAGAGAGACAGAGAGATCTCTTGCATCTACCGATTCACTTCCCAGATGACTGCAATGGTCAGGGCTGAGCACGTCCAAAGCTCAGAGTCAGGAGCCTCTTCTGGGTCTCCAACTTGCATGCAGAGCACAGGCCTTGGATGCAAAGCCATCCTCTACTGCTTTCCCAGGCTAGGAGCAGGGAGCTCGGCCAGAAACGGAGCAGCTGGAACTGAAGTGGATATCCACATGGAATAACGGTGCCAGCAGTGAAGGCAGCGGCTCTGCCACAATGCCAGCGCCTCAGACTACCTTTTAATTCTATTCCCCGCTATAAGCTTCTTGAAGTGTCACCTCCTGTGTGTGTGTGTGTGTGTGTGTGTGTGAGAGAGAGAGAGAGAGAGAGAGAGAGAGAACAAAAGGGAAGCATTTTAAAAAGTAATTCGGTGTTCTACTGAGGATGTGTGAGGAAGTAAAGACTGGGCCTACCTTTTGAAACTAATGTCTACAAACTTAGCCTCAGTCCTCATGTGGAAGGCAGAGCGAGTCCCCGGGGGGCCTGTGAAATGCTTATGCTTTGCCTACACCCAGGGATGGAGGTGGCGGGGGTGAGTCCACGGACCGTACTGGAAGGGTCAGAGCCCAAAGAAACCTTGAAAGTGAAGCAAGCAAGCTGGAGATTTGATGCAGAGGACTACAGGGAACCCTTCAAAGCTTGGGAACAGGATTGAGCTCCAGGGAAAAACCAAGGCCTCTGGGTTCCAAGCTGTCACGGACATTCCAGCCAACATGTGTGTGTCAGCATGAGGCCAGGGCAGCCTGCCTCAGGCGGGAACACAGAGGGCAGATGAGAAGCAGCTGTTGGGGAGGAGAGGCCTGTGTGCTGGGAGGATAGGGGCAGATGGGTTGGCCGGGGCCATGTTATTACTAGCAGAGAAGATCCAGTCAGGGCACTGGAGGTTTGACCCAAATCCTAGCTCTGCCAAAACACTTCTGCAATAAGAGAAAGGAAGGAGACGGAGCACGGTGAACCATGGATCAGGGCCCGAGAGAAAGAGGATTACGATGTGGCCTGGTTCCCATCCTGCTCAAACTACTACAGGAACACAACCAGAGCCTTGTGTGTGTGTGTTGGGCTGGGGGATGCCCATGGGCTTGGCACATTCCGACTCTGGTCCTTGGCCTTGTGAGCACCAGGTTGTCGGCAAGGGATGTGCGAAGGCCCAGCAGGGTGATGATGCAAGGGCTGCACTTTTTAAGAACGTGCTGCCCCTGGCCAGCAAGCCTGGTGATGCATGGCCAGCTTACTGCCTCGTGGCTGAGTGGGCTTGCTGGAGTTGCCCCCAGCTCTCTTCCAGCCAGAGAACAGACTGTGAGTTTCTTATAAAACTTAGGGTACTTCAAAAGCAAAAATAATCCCAACTACTTCCCAAGGAGACCTGTGAAAATGTAGCTCTTGGAGCAACATGGGTCCTGATGTGGGGATTTTTCAGAGATTTATTTTAATTTTATCTTTATTTGAAAAACAGAGAGAGAGAGAGAGAGAGTGCTTCCATTTGCTGGTGCACTCCCTAAATTCCTGCAATGATTAAAGCTGGTCTGATCTGAACTCAGGAGCCAAGCACCTCCTCTGGGTCTCTGCCATGGGTGCAGGGTCCCAAGGACCTGAGCCATCCTTTGCTGTTTTACCAAGTGCATTAGCAGGAAGTATGTCACCAGCTGGCTTGAAATCTCTCAGATTGACTTCAGGGCTAAAAGTAGGACCATTGAGATATCCCTAAGCTTCTGAGGTGCTGCTGGCCCTGAACTACCTCCTTTGTATGTTGCCATGCCACACTGGAGCCTGAAGTCACAGGGTGCAAGATAAAGATCTTGGGGCCGTTAGTGTGGCACTGTGGGTTAAGTTGCTACCTGCAGTATCAGCATCCGATACGTACATCAGTTGGAGTTCCAGCTGCTTTGCTACCAATCTACCTCATTTAATGGCCTGGGAAAGCAATGGGAGATGATCCAAGTGTTTGCGACCCTGTGCTTATGTGGCAAACCCGGATGGTGTTCCAGGACCTTGACTTCAGCCTGGCTAAGCCCTAGCCATTTTGGTGAACTGAACAGTAAATGGAAGCGCTCTCTCTCGCTCTCTCTCTCTCTCTCCCCCATTCAGAGTGTGTGTGTGTGTGTGTGTGTGTTTCTCTGTCTAACCCTGAGGTCCAAAATAAGTAAATAAACAAACAAACAAATAAATCTTTGGCAAAACAGAGTGATCTTGTCTTTCAAAGAGTGGCAAAGAGTACAATACATGTGAATTTGGCAAGGGGAAAAAATGTGACTTTTGTTGCCACCCGTTTTATATATGGTTATTCTATGCTTATAGCTGTATGATCTTTTTCCTAACTCTCCTCTCCAATGCACTAGAGTTCTGCCTCCCTACCCAGTGTATTGATGAAAGTTTAATAATCAGTAACAAGCAACTTTCTATTTCCCCGACACTGCAGGCAACGCTTTTCAAAATGGCCAGTAGAGGGCAGTGTAAGAACATAGAGACTACAGATAAGCAGGTGGGTGGGTGGGTGAGTGGGTCTCTCCCACAAGGGAGGAAAAAAGAGGAAGAAATCCAATCAGTGCCATAGAAGTTACAGAATGTTCCAGCAGGGAGGCCTTCAGAGACTATTTAACCTGGGTTATGTTTTATATGCGGGTGGAGGGGCAGGAACACCAAGAGAAGAGGAAGGACTTGTTTAAGTCACATCGTTAACAGAATGACCCTGGACTCAAACCAGTGCATGAGTTTACCTTGTTTGCCAGTGGCAGATGTCCTAGGGGGTCCTTTCTTTGCTGTCCCGCAACCTGAGCCCACCCCTGGGACTGTTCCCATCAGTAGACTGCAGCAACCAGATGCTCACACATCATTCCTCTCTTCTTAGCCCTGATCATTTCACAGAACCAATCTGAAACACCATCACTGTTTGGACTGCTAACAGAATTTCAATGGATTTGGACCAATGCCCTGCTCTGATGCATGCCATTTATTTTGGCAAATAGACCCAGACAGGGCAGAAGGGACTCCTCCAAGTCTTTACAACAAGCTCTCCTGCCTCCATCTGCTCTACTCAATATTTTAAATATGCAGATCAGAGTTTAATTCTCCAAGGAAGGAGTTGAGACTTGTACCTTAGTAAGTCCAGGAACTACACGTCCAGAACCGCAGGCCGACAAGCTTGGCTTAGGCTGTCTAACTCCTGGTGAGCATAGTAGGTTGGGATCAGGGCACAGTTTAAAGTTAGCTTCGATTTGAGCCAGATGATTGGGTAACACGGCTGGAATGGAGAG